TGTGCGCCACTATGCCTAGCTAATTTTTTGTATTTTTAGTAGAGACAAGGTTTCACCATGTTGGTCAGGCGGGTCTTGAACTCCTGACCTCAAGTGATCTGCCCGCCTCAGCCTCCCAAAGTGCTGGGATTACAGGTGTGAATCACCACAACTGACCTGAATGTGGTTTTGAAGTATGTTTTTTTCTGATGAATGATGATGTTGAGGATCTTTTCTCTTACCTGTTGGCCTTTTTTTTTATCATCTTTGCAGAGATGTCTATTCAAGGTCTCTGCACAATATTAGTTTGGATATGTATTTTTATGCTACCTAGTATTTTTTTTCTGTGTACATATTTGGTAACAACCAGTTATCACTCATGATTCCCTGAAATTTTCTCACAATATATATACTTTTGAGACAGAGTGTCATTCTCCCATCCAGGCTGGAGCACAGCAGTGGCATTTTATGTCACAGTAGCATGTATTTTAGATACCTGCAGTTTTGCCATTTTGATATCAGGAATTGTGAATCCTCCAACTTGGTTTATATTTCTCAGAATTTCTTAGATATTCAGGCCTATTTGTGGTTACATATGAACATTAGCATTGTGTATTCACATTTCTTGAATTTCTGTGTACAATAAAGTATATAATTAGAGGGTATGCTGGGACTTCTCTTTGCTCTGGGACATTTTGATACACGTATAGTTTAAGTAGTGATCAAATCAGGGTACTTCGGATATAAGTTCCCTCATGAAGCTATTATTTCTCTGTTGTGAGAACATTCAGATTGCTCCCTTCTAGCTTTAATTCTTTCTTTGTTGTTAACTGGAGTTACCCAGCTGTGGTATAGAACACAAGAATGTGTTTGTCTTAACTAACTGCAACTTTGTTTCCAGAACCAAGCCCTCCCATAAACTTCTTTCACTCTTCTCAGAAGACCAAGAATGTCCCCTTATTGGCTGGGCATGGTGGCTCCCACGTGTAATCCCAGCACTTTGGGAGGCCAAGGCAGGAGGATCATGAGGTTAAGAGATTGAAACCATCTGGCCAACATGGTGAAACCCCATCTCGACCAAAAATACAAAAATTAGCTGGGAATGGTGGCATGTGCTTGTAGTACCAGCTACTTGGGAGGCTGAGGCAGGAGAATCACTTGAACCCGGGAGGAGGAGGTTGCAGTGAGCTGAGATCGCACCACTGCACTCCAGCCTGGGTGACAGAGTGAGACTCCATCTCAAAAAACAAAAAACAGAAAACCAAAACAAAGCCTCCTTATTCATACACAATGGATTTCTCCTGACCATTATCTCTAGTTATACACAGTCTTCTTACTATCTCAGCAAAATCATTCTGAACTTCCATTTCTCAGGTAGAAAATAGATGCCAACTCAAGATAGATTAAAAACTTAAATGTAAGACCTGAAACTATGAAACAACTAGAAAAAACATACTAAAAATGCTTCAAGCCATTGGTTTAGGCAAATAATTTATGGCTGATATCTCAAAAGCACAGGCAACACAAGCAAAAATAGATAAGTGGAATATAGCTTCTGCACAGCAAAAGAAACAACACAGTCAAGAGACAGATCCTTGAATGGGAGAAAATAACTTCAAAGTACTCATCTGACCAGGGACTAATATGCAGAATAATACAAGGAACTCAAATTTCCCAAAAGTAATGAAACAATCCCATTAAAAATGGGCAAAGAACAGGAATAGACATGTCTCAAAAGACATGCAAATGGCTAACAGGTATATGAGAAAATGCTCAACATTATTGATCAGGATGCAAATCAAAACCACAATGAGATATCATCTCACCTCTGTTGGAATGGCTATTATTAAAAAGATGAAAAGTAACAGATACTGGTGAGAATGAAGAGAAATAGAAACTCTGTTACACTGTCAGTAGGAGCACAAATCAGTACAACCATGATGGAAATCAGTATGGAGAATTCTAAAAAACGAAAAATAGAAGTAGGTCCAGCAATCCTACTACTGGGTATTTATTCAAAGGAAAGAGTTCAGGCCAGGTGTGGTGGCTCATACCTGTAACCCAGCACTTTTGGAGGCTGAGGCAGGTGGATCACTTGAGGTGAGGAGCTTGAGACCAGTGTGGCTAACATGGCGAAATTCTGTCTCTTCTAAAAATACAAAAAATAATTAGCTGGGCATTGTGGCACATGCTTGTAATCTCAGCTACTTGGGGAGGCTGAGGCAGGAGAATCACTTGAACCCAGGAAGTGGAGTTTTTGGTGAGCCAAGATTGTGCCACTTAACTCCAGGCTAAACAACAGAGTGAGACTGTCTTAAAAAAAATCAATATAGCACAGGGATGTCTGCATTCACATGTTTATCATAGCACTGTTTACAATAGCAAAGATATGGAATCAACCCAAGTATCTATCAACAAATGAATAGCTAAATAAAATGTATGAAATGAACACAATAGAGTACTATTTGGCAATAAAAAATAATGAAATCATGTCATTTGTAGAAACATGGATAGATCTGGAAGGCATTATGTTAAGTGAAATAAGCCAGGCACAGAAAGACACATAACAACGGTCCTCACATGTGGGAGCTAAAAATAACTTCATCTCATGGACACAGAGAATCCAATGGCAGATACCAGAGGCTATGAAGACTGGGTGTGTGGAAGGGAGAAAGAAGAGAAGTTGGCTATTAGGTGCAAACATACAGTTAGAAGAAATAAGCTGTAATGTCTGATAGCAAAACAATATTTCAAAGTAGCCAGAATACACATTCACTCTGTGTAACAAACACTCACCTGTACCCTATAAATAGGTAAAATGTTGTGGGTGTCAATAAAAGATTCTTTTTTGGGTGGGAGGGATGGAGTCTTGCTCTGTTGCTCAGGCTAGAGTGCAGTGGCATAACCTCGGCTCACCACAACCTCCGCCTCAGGGGTACATGCGATTCTCCTGCCTCAGCCTCCCATGTAGCTGAGATGATAGGCATGCGCCACCACACTTGGCTAATTTTTGTATTTTTATACAGATGGGGTTTCAGCATCTTGGCCAGGCTGGTCTCAAACTCCTGACCTCATGACACCCACCTCAGCCTCCCAAAGTGCAAGGATTACAGACATGAGCCACCATGCCCAACAATAAAAGGTTCTTTTAAGATGGCGAGGTTATGTCCAAGTCTCCAGAGAGGGGCCCTTTGGTTCCACACAGCAATCCTGCCCACCTCCACTGTTCCACCATGCTGGTCCTGTCTGAGCCTTCATGCTCTTGCCCCCAAAGCAGGTGGTTCTGACTCAGGTGGCCACACTGTGGACCTGGGTGTTGGTGGCCCAGATGGTGGGTACTGTGGGCTTCCTGCCCTTCTTGTTCTACTGGGACCAGATGGAGCCAGGCAGTGACAGGGCACCACCTTCTTGACCAGATCCTGGGACATAGGAGGAGTGTCACCTGGCCCCTCCTTATCTCAATTCAGAGCTCAAAGTACCCCTGGGCCTGGGACATGGGTGGGCTGGACTCAGGAAGGTTTGGATGCAGCTCAAGCCTTGTGGGACCTCTGGGTTTTCTACCCACTGAGAGTGCCCCCATACAGATGACCTAAGACCCGTAGCTGGTGGGAAGGGTCTGGCATTTCTTTGGTCCCTCCTCATTCATGCCAGGCACCCTGACTGTCCTTCCTGATCTATTGCCCTGGTCACATTCCCCAGGGCAGCTTGGGGCTTTGTTCAGATGTCTACCATAATCAGGTGCCTAATAAGTGCTGAGACTTGCAAGACCACCTGGGCAGATGGGTAGGTGCCCCCTGGTGAGCACCCCGTCAGTCAGGCCCCTGCCCACGTGTCTGCCTGCTCCCGCTTGTGTTTGTCACAGCTGGATCATTGCCTGGATCCAGCTCAACTCTGCTGCCAGGGTTGCCTCAGTCTGGCTTCCCAGGGCTTGCAGCATCCTGGTCCCAGGATCTGCACACAGGGCCTCCTTTTTGCATCTTGCCCTCAGGGATAGGTGCTCCTCCAAGCCCTGCCTGCCAGCCTGGAGACAGCCACCCACACCCCGTGCCCCTATTGCATGCCAGGGGAGTGGAGCCTCTGCCAGAAGCCCCACAGCGGTTGGCCCTGGCTTGGACACCGTGTAGGGGCACCGGCCGGGAGCTGGCCACCCAGCCCCAAACCTGTGGCCCCTGAGTGCCACGTCACTGATGGCCCCGCGCTGGGCTTTGTGGGTGGCTTGTGTTCCGTGATTTTTTTTGGAGGTGGAGTTTCGCTCTGTTGCCCAGGCTGGAGTGCAGTGGCGCCACCGGCTCACTGCAACCTCCGCCTTCCAGGTTCAAGCATTTCTCCTGCCTCAGCCTCTCCTGAGGCTGGGATGCAGGCACCCACCACCGCATCCGGCTAATTTTTTGTACTTTTAGCAGAGGCGGGGTTTCGGGTTTCACCGTGTTGCCAGGCTGGTCTCCAACTCCTGAGCTCAGGCAGTACCCCCGTGCCTCGGCCTCCGGAAGTGCTAGGATTGCAGGTGTGAGCCACCGCGCTTGGCCTGTTCTACGATTGATTTTGAGGCCATCTGTAGCGAGCTCCGACAGCCCGAGCTCCCAGCTGCAGCTGCCACGCCCCACCCCCCACAACAGCACCGTCACAACTGCCTTGGGGGCTTTCTTCAGAGGAGACTGTCAGAGTCCTCAAGTTCCTGGCGCTCTAGTCCCGGTCCTGCTTCTAGAGGCTTTTTCCCAGTAGCTGCGTCTCCTTCTCAATGGCTTGAGAGCTTGACCAACTCCCGCACAATTTGGTGGGAACACAAGGCCGCCACTGACGTTTGTGGCGCCAGAACTTGCACATGCGGTGACACATGTCGGCCACTGTGCCACGTGCAGAGACGCCGCCTGAGGTGCGCACGTCTCACGCGCACGCCTCACGCGCGTGTATCCACGCGTGTGTAACGGCTGGCTTGCGTGCCTGCTGCACGGGCACGCCACACGCGCACGCCACAAGCGCACTATGGTACATGCAACACACGCGTGTTGGCGTTCCATGCATGCGCCTGTAACAGCCTGTCTTGGCGTCGGTCGCTTGGCTTGGCGTTGGTCGCTTGGCTTGGCGTTGGTCGCTTGGCTTGGTCGTCCTCCAGTGGATTGGCATTTTCTCCCCTAGCGTTTCTTTGCTGGGATTGACCTTTTCTAGACTGGGCTTGGAATTCCCCTGCTGGGCTGGGTGTTTCCTTGGGGGATTGGCCTTTCCCTGGGTGGGCGTGGGATTTCCCTGGGGGTGGGCGGGGATTCCCCCTGGGTGGGCGTGGACTTCCCCTGGGTGGGTGTGGCCTTTCAAACCTCGCTGGTCTTGGCCTCTCCCCCTGGGCTTGGCAAGGTTTTGGCTGGCCTTGTCCTTTCTCCTCTGACAGATTGGAAACTTGGAGTTTCCTGCTTGTTGGTGAAACTTGTCGGCAGAGGCGATTGGCTAGCTATTACCCGGCTCCTCGGGCTGGTGGAAGCGGATGGGGGCTGAGGTTTCTCCAAAGCCATCTGCTCCCCCTTTGAAGAAGCCCTTTGGCCTCAGGAGCAAGATGGGCAAGTGGTACTGCCTTTGCTTCCCCTGCTGCTGGGGGAGTGGCAAGAACAACGTGGGCGCTTGGGGAGACCACGACGACAGCGCCTTCAGGGAGCCAAGGTACCACGTCCGTCGAGAAGATCTGGGCAAGCTCCACAGAGCTGCCTGGTGGGGTAAAGTCCCCAGAGCGGATCTCATCGTCATGCTCAGGGGCCCCGGCGTGAACAAGAGGGACAAAAAGAAGAGGTAACCTGGCCTGGGCTGGGAGGAGGTGGGATGTGGGGACATGGGGTAGGGACATGCTCTCCTGGCACAGCGGGGGGTCAGGGGCTGGATTTCTCTCCTCCGCAGGACCCACACCGCCCAGAGTTTGAAAAACTCAGAGGTCGGGGCGCAGGCCTCTTTAAGAGCAGCAACACGAACCCAAAATTTTAGTTCATTTCCAATCCAGTTATAATTTCCCTTATAGAACACTGACTGTTTCAAACTGATTTAACTTGTAAAATTAAGTTGATGCAGCAAATTATTTTTAATGTAAGCATTTTAAAACAATGTTATCTACATTATAGAAAGGTATATTGAGAACTAAGTCCCATAAGATGTCAACTTCTGGGCTAAATATTCTTCAAATAAAATCTAACATGCATTTTATATCAGTGTACCCTATGTATATATGTTCTTTACTGAGGAACCTTGGAAGGAAACTGAAATGGAAAGATGGTTTGTGTCCTTGACTAGGAAGATTCATTTTTCTTAAGATGTGAGCTCTTTCTATTTCTCATTTTCACCTAAGCCAAATAAAAATAGGAAAGTTTTAGCACTCTTAAATTACACATGCTGTCATTTATTATTGTGATAAATTGTTTGTAACAGAATGGAAAAAGACTTGCCTTTCCGGATATCAAAATGTGCATGCGCTATTTTTGCACATTGTTTACTAACAGCTGAAAATACATAAATGAATAGAATAGTTAATTCCCATTTTATTGATGAGGACATTGAGACCCAAAAAGGCTAAGCAACAGCTAGGAAGGGACAGAGCTTAAAGTAGGATTCCATCCCAAGTTGAGTGGAATCTAAAGGCCATGATCTTTCTCTTCAAATTGGCTGCTTTTTCATTAAAACGGAGAGTAATGAGAGGTAATAATTAGCGTGCTTTCTTCACAGGAAAATTAAATGTTTGTTTTGAAGGAAGAGGAATAGCAGGCTATTCAATGTTTGCAATTACATGAATCATTGATATAGCTTTAAATAGTGGACTACAATTTCCTAAAAAGGCTTCTCACTCTCACAGGACTGCTCTCCATTTGGCCTGTGCCAATGGAAATCCAGAAGTAGTAAAACTCCTGTTGGACAGACAATGTGACCTTCATGTCTTGGATAGCAAAAAGAGGACAGCTCTAATAAAGGTATGCAGTAGTCAGCTAATCAGTGTGAGATGGATTTGATTTCAGTACATAGAATAAAAATTAGTTTCCTCAAGTAAATATAACTAGTTGATGAAAGCTGTGGAATGTTTATTTTGAATTCTGAGGGCTTATAATTTGTTTTTTTATCATACTTGCAGGCCGTACAATGCCAAGAAGACGAATGTGCATTAATGTTACTAGAACATGGCACTGATCCAAACATTCCGGATGTGTATGGCAATACCGCGCTACACTACGCGGTCTACAATGAAGACAAATTACTGGCCAGAGCACTGCTTTTGTGCGGTGCCAACACTGAATCAGCAAACAAGGTATAGATCTACCAGTTTTATTTTCAAAATACTGAAATGCATTTGTTTGAGCACTGACCCGTGTAAGGGTCAGTTTTTCATATTTGGAAGCTCAAGCATAACCTGAATGAAAATATTTAGAAATGACTTAATTATTATCTAATATTTTATGCTAAATATTATTACTTCTAAGGAAACATTCGAGGGTACGGTTTTTTTTTAATGCACTTGTGGTAAATTGTTTTTTTAAAACACAAATTGTAAAAGGTAATAATTATTTTGTTTTAAATTTTTTCCTCCCAGGTTTTGTTTGTTTGTTTGTTTGTTTGTTTGTTTTTGCCTCTAATCAATGTAAAATGACCAAATTTACCCTGGAAATAGGTTTAAAACTCCAAGAAATGAAACTACATTTCAGTGAATAGAAATCCTGCTGCTTTGGCAAGTTCCTAAAAAAAAAAAGTAGTATACATGAAGTGATGTATCTCTCAGTGGCAAGGCTTAAGATATTTCTGATTGTTCATGAGGCAAAAATGAAAAGGGAAAAAGAGAGCAATCAGAAATATTGAGGCCAATTTTTCAATTAGATAATGGAGGAAAAAACTATGAAGAGGGTGTGTGTGTGTGTGTGTGTGTGTGTGTGTGTGTGTCTGTGGTGTTGTTCATTTATCTGTTTCCTTTGTATGGTAACACAAGGATCTCTTCAGTTTTAGAGAAAGACAGTTTTCAGTTTGGGAAAGGGAGTTAGTGAGTTGTAAAATCCCTAGAGATCAATTTTCGGAGACCTCTGAGGAACCAGACTGGCAGTGAATAGGTGGTGATGTAGTGGGAAACCCTTGAGCAGAGGGAATAATAAGTAATCAACTGACTTATTATCCTATTCTGATAGAAATGGCCAATTAGAGTCTCAACTCTGCTTTGAAATCTAGAATGTCTTTATAGGAAGGTGGGACATAAGGCACTTATAAGTAACAAGATCAAGTTGGATTTTGAGTTTACTAGACCCTGATCTACTCGTACCTGGGAAAATTATGTGGTGTTTTCAGCAAATGAGTGTCTTTCCTACTCTTTCCTTTTTTTGGCCAAATACTTAAGTGATAAAGGGACTTTGTCAGGTGGGTGGGAGATGAGACTGAAGTAATTGTGTGTTGCACTAGTTGTCAGAATTGTGCATCCCAGTAACCTGAGGAAACTTTTTAAATGATCTACAAGTCTAGGCTGCCCCTGAAGGTTTTGATAGACTAAGTCTAATAAAGCCTGGATACGTATGTTTAAAAATATTTCCTTGAAGCCAGGCATGGTGGTGCATGGCTGTAGTTCCAACTGCTAGGGAGGCTGAGGTGGGAGGATAGCTTGAGAACAGGAGTTTGAATCTAGCCTGGGCAACATAATGAGACCCTGTCTCTAACAACACCAACAACAGCAACAAATTCCTTAAAATCCAGATGCTCCTACCTAAGAACCACTGAATAGATAAGTTTAATGTGTAAATTCATGGATCTCAGAAACTTAAAATATCTGTAGAAGAGTTGGAGTTGGATATGTGCTAATTCCTTTAAATCTTTCCTTTCCAATAATATTAGTCTTTTTTTTTTCTTTTTCATTTATTTATTTATTTTTAAGATGGGGTCTCACTCTGTCTCCCAGGCTGGAGCGCAGTGGTGCAGTGACAGCTCATGGTAGCCTTAACCTCCCCAAGCTCGGGTGGTCCTCCCACCTCAGCCTCCCAAAATGCTGGGATTACAGGTGTGAGCCACTACACCTGGCCTAATCTGACTTCTATCTCCGTGGTAGGGACATTAAAATGAATATTACTGGAAGTATCTCTAAGCTTACAGAATAATAATTTTTCCTTCCTACCATCAGTTATTCACTGCTGTTAAGAAGGTCTTTAGAAATTTGCAGTGAGTAGTCTTTCAATAAGTAGAGGATGGTCCTTTCGGGATTTTGCGTCTTTTTGTCATCATTCAAGTGCTTAGGTCAGTAAGTCGTTATTAAGAGCAGAGTTTTCTCAATCAGAATTGTAGCAAATTCTAAATCTTTTTTGTCAACTGAAGCTGTCTTATGGACTATCCAGTATGTCTCTTAAATTTGTAGAGCCTTGACTTAATCAGGATGGCAGTTTTAAACACTAAAAACTATGGAATTATTAAGAATACAGATAGAAATTCTGTTAATTTAGTTTGAGCAGTCTGAATTCATTATCTATTTAGTTAACAATCTGGGAAAATTAAATACAAATGGATTTTAAGTGAATAAATGTTGGAAAAATCCTTGAAAAATGGACAGTATGAGTCTTAATAGCAATTTTTGTTGTATGTTGGAGCTTGATGTTTTGGTAAAACATGTGAAACTAAAGAAACATTTTACATGCAAATTCTTGCTTTATACACAACAATATGTCATAAGGTTTGAGGATATAGAGATAAAAGATACAGGCCTTGCCGTTAAGCAGCTCTTTGTTTAGATGGGAAAATATATTATTATCTAATAATGCTATGCCAAATGCTGGATTAGAAGCAAAGATTTTGGAACCAGTAAGTGTTTAAAGTGAGTTTTTAAGATGACCAGAGTTAATGCGATGAGGCTGAGGAGAGGTGTTTCCCAAGGGAAGGAGGAGCGTGTGGGAAAGCACAGAAGAGCGAGAAGGAAGCGACGTTTTATTTCCTTTCTGCGTGTGTAAGTCCATAGGATCTTATATAAAGTTTCCAGTTCAGTTGAGAAATATGTGATTTTTTGAATTACATATTGTTTTTGCTTTATATTGTTTTACAGAGTGGCCTGACACCACTTTTGCTGGGTGTACATCGACAAAAAGAGCAAATGGTGAAATTTTTAATCAAGAAAAAAGCTAATTTAAATGCACTTGATAGATTTGGAAGGTATAGTTAATTCTTTTAATCTGTGTGTTTTAGAGTGATCGTCACTCAAGTCATAAGTAGTAAATTAATAAGATTCACTTCTACTTGTTGGGACGTAGTGATGAGTGTCAACATCAATGAGTTAAGGGGAAAAGCAGTTATTTGGACTGGGATAAGCAGTCACATGGCGATCCATACAATGACTTTAAAATTACCACTTTTTTTAGTTCACATAAAGAACAGTTTTAGTAGGATTCATCTTCTCTTATTATATGGACTGATGTTACTTGTTATGTGACATTTTTGGTTATATGATCCTACGTTAGCTAACGGGAGTTCCTATGAGTGTTATGAAGTATGAACTTCAACTTTTAGTTTACTTTATGACTCAGTACTGAACTTCTTAAACCTTTCTAGTAGTTTTTAACCTCTGCTTCTTATACGCTCTTCCATTAAATATGCTATATTAAACATAAATAGGAGTTGAAAATCATTTTGTCTTTTGAATGACTCTGCTTTCAGTTGCCTTTTTTTGAAGAATATTAATGTTTGCTTATCCCTACATGACAATTAATTGCGATTCCCACATACTTTGGGTTCATCAGCTTTTTTTCTTTTTTATTTCCAGTGTATTTTGATGTTTTTAAATTGGTATGGAGAGAGGGGGTGAAGACAGTTTTAAGTGGATACGCTTTTCCTTTAATAAAGGCAAGCTGTAGCTGGGTGATAAAGAGAAAAGAGCTAGGTTTTAGATTCACACAAGACTGGCATTTAATTCAGTGCCTAGCTCATCAAGGCCTTTAAATTAGTAACTTCTACTGTGCAATACCTCACTGAGATAAGAGTCTTCCTTTCTGACCCTTCCTTTTAACCCTGGTGGTATTTTACAAAGATGAACACTTAGGCACTCAAGATGCTTACGTCTTTTAGTGCATGTAAATGTTTAATTCTGCATGGGCAGGCAAGATATTAAATTGGTAGAGTATATCAAACTAGCCTTTATAATAGCTTTACTAAAGTTCCTAAGGAAGAAATTCTCCCTGTCATTTTAGAACTGCTCTCATACTTGCTGTGTGTTGTGGATCAGCAAGTATAGTTAGCATTCTACTTCAGCAAGATGTCGATGTATTCTCTCAAGATGCATCTGGATGGACTGCTGAAGATTACGCAATTTCCAGTCATCATGACATGTAAGTGTTCACATTAAAAGGCTAGTTAACACTAAATTGAGGTTTAAAATAATTATAACCATTGTATCTTATATATCAGGTGAGATGTCATAGTCTGGTTAAGGTAGTTTTAAAGTGGCAGTGAGTTGGTCCCCTGCATCAGCTAGAAATCAAACAAAAAGCTAGACTAGTTAGAAGAATCAATGGGTGCAGGATTCTTTATCTCGGGACTTTTAAGACCTTTATCCTTAGAGATCCCAACATTGTTTATTTTATTCCAAGTATAACACCTATGCATGGGATAAAAAATAATGTCACATCTTTGATTTTTTCTGGTTAGTCCTTTGGGTCTTGAGATGTCCAGTTTAGCAGGAAGTCTTATACTGTCTTCTGGGGACTATTTTCTATGTACTCTTTGAATTTTTCAAGAACCAAAGGGGTTCACTAAGCCCAAAGAAGACAATCCTTTTTATCATGTCAGAAGGAGGAGAAGACAAAGGACATTTTAATTGTTCTGTTTTTTCTGTTGATTCTGTTGCTGCATTGTTGCCACCGAAACTGGTCCTGCTGCTTGGTAATGGTTGACCTTTGACACCAAGATGCCCTTATTGATTCAGATCCCTCAAGTCTTCATACATAGACTTCAAAGTTACCACGTTTTTTAGTTCACATTCCTATGCTTATGTGCTCAGCCATTGTTCTCAAGGTACCAGCACCCTGCTCTGGCAGCTCGGCATCCTGCCTTTATCCACACATGAAGTGAGCAAATTGACTCTTCCCCTGACATTCAAAACCTAATGTGGAACTCACATCTTACCACAGATGTAACTGACACCTACATGGTAAGAGATCCTTTGAGTTCCAGGTTGGTCTTTTCTCTAGCACATATTAGTTGGGCTTGTTCTAAACTATCAGAGAGCTTCAAATAATGTGGCAGAAAGAGATCGGCGTTTGATTTCTTCTTTGATACCAGATCTGTATCCTGAAGCATCTATACCCTGTATAGTACCTTAGGCAACAGAAAGTCCGACATTAACCTTCCTCAGAGTGTGGGCGCCCAGTTGTGGTTGGCCCCTTGAGTGATCTGTTTTCCATAATGATGAAAACTGCTTACATCTCTTCCTCAAGATTTAAAAATATTTTCAAATTCTACCTCACAGGAAGCCATTGAAGAGAATTCTCAGGATCTCAAGTAGGTTAGTTGGACTTAGAGCCAAACCTTGTCCATGACTCATCACTGTCCATTTGTAAAAGTAGGGCTTTGTGCCTGCTTCGGCAGCACATATCCTAAAATGGGAACAGTACAGAGGAAATTAGCATGGCCCTGCATAGGGAGGCTGCACACATTTTTGAAGCATTCCATATTTGCCTAGTCACTGGAAGGTCATTTGACTGTTTGCTGACTAGCTTTAAGGAAATGGTGTGAATTGAAGCAAAACGAGTGCCACCTAAATATTGAAATTGCTATTTGTGCTACAAAAATATTCCTGTAAGCTGGTCTGTGAGATGACACCAGAGCTGAATAATATGTGGGGTATTGTGTACAAAATATATTGTTAGTAAGTATCTTGAAAATTAGAGAATGTCAAATTGCAACTTCTTCATGGAACCTAAAAAGAAATGTAGGGTTTTGGTCTTCCATGTCAGCTGGAGATGAACATGGATATGAAGCATCATCTTAAAAAACATCTGCTGGTTCAGAGTGTGAGTCTGTAGAGAAGGATCATTGGTCCAAGCCACATCTTGACATCCATTGTTTTTTTTGCCCTTGGTGTGATTGATAAACTCTGCAATAGTGGACAGTCACGTTATCAACTTTAATGAGATATTTATGAATAAATTTAGTTACAAGCTATGAAATAGTTGAGATGCCCTGAATTATAAGCTATAAAGATTAGGACAACTAATAAGCAAAATGAAGACTTACTAACATTCCCTGAAAACTACGTTTCCATCTTAGGACCTTGAACAAAATACACATTGGGTTTTTTTGTTCTGGAGTCTTGCTGTGTTGCCAGACTGGAGTGTAGTGGCGCCATCTTGGCTCACTACAAACTCCACCTCCCAGGTTCAAGCAATTCTCCTGCCTCAGCCTCTTGAGTAGCTGAGACTACAGGCGTGTGTCACCACGCCCAGCTAATTTTTTGTATTTTTAGTAGAGATGCGGTTTCGCCATGTTGGCCAGGATGGTCTTGATTTCTTGACCCCATAATCTGCCTGCCTTGGTCTCCCAAAGTGCTAGTGTTACAGGGGTGAGACATGGCGCCCGGCCACACATCGGGTTTTATTTGGGATTCCAAGATAATTTTAGTCATAGAGTTTAGGAACAGATTATTCCATGTCTCTACTATTTCTCTGAGCATTTAAAACATGGTATCTTGTTTAATCTTCATCACAATCCAGTGAAAAAGGCAGCAAAGTTCTCACTTTGTGGAAGACACTGAGCCTAAGAGAAGTAAATTTTCCAAGAATAAATAGCTGTTCCTTGTGGAGCTAGGACTTATTTGGAGTTGGGGCACTTTCTGTTATGTCCAGCTAATGCAAATTAATGTACGGAGTCACAGTGCCCTTGGTTTATGAGTATTTCACCTTACTTTTTGTCCTCTTCAATTAGAAGCTGAATGAGAAGTTTGTAGAATGTACACATAAGTGGATGGGATAATATTGTTAAGTTCTGATATTCTAATATTGTAGAAATATTCTAAGAATTTTACATTTGGAAAGTAAATTTTGTATCAGCATTAATATAGTCATTTTATTTGTTACATTTTTATACATAGAATTTGCCAGTTACTTTCTGACTACAAAGAAAAACAGATGTCAAAAAACTCTTCTCAAAACAGCAATCCAGGTAAAGTCAGTGAATTACTTTAAGTCAGTTGTCCCCAACTTTTTGGCACGGGAGACCCATTATGTGGAAGACAATTTTTTCATTGACTAGGGACAAATGCAGATGATTTCAGAATTATTCAAGCACATTACATTTGTTGTGCTTCTTTATTTGTATTATTATTACATTGTAATCTGTAATGAAATAATGATACAACGTACTATAATGTAGAATCAAAGAAGCTCTGAGCTTGTTTTCCTGCAACTAGATGTTCCTATCTGGGGGCAAAGGGAGACAGTGACAGGTCATTAGGCATTAGATTCTCATAAGAAGCACATAATGTAGATCCCTCACGTGGTCAGTTCACGACAGGGTTCATGCTCCAATGAGTAATGCTGTCACTGATCTGGCAGGAGGTGGGGCTCAGGTGGTAAGATGAGCCATGGGCCATGGTTGTAAACACAGATGAAGCTTCCCTGGCTTGCCTGCTGCTTACCTCCACCTGTGTGGCATGGTTCCAAAACAGCCATGGATTTTTACCAGTCTGTGGCCTGGGAGTTGTGGATGCCTGTTCTGGGTGGTCCTACCATAGACAAAAAAGTAAAAAAAAGGAAGTTTTGATCACAAAAGAACAGTGAAGCCCAGGTCATGTTACGTATGCTTGTACAAACAAGGTCTCACTATTACTGACCTCATTCCTCCTAATTTGAAACTGAAAGAGATTTATTTACTTTGTTGGAACAAGATGTTTTCTTCTACCTGCTGGTTGTCATGATAACGGTAATTTTGTTAAATCAAGGTGCTCTGCTACCATTTGTCAAAAGATTTTCATAATAAATACACAAATTGCTCAACTCTAGGCCCAGCAGATGATAATAAACATACAAAAATGCTTCACAATAACAAAAATGCTAGTATGCTATCTGGATGTGGACACCTAATACATTGTATAATTCAAACTGTATGAGGCCACCTTTAATTTAGCCTATGTTTATCAAAGAGCTTCTGTAAGTTAGATTTTATAGGTTGTAGGAGACCAAGATGGAGCAGAAGTAGTTTTAATCTTCAAGGAGTTCATAGTAGAATAGAGCCGTCTCCATTTCATTGCTGTGCTTTTTCAACAGAATTAACAAAGAAAAAACATTTTTATGTTTTTACTTGACCACTTGACAAATAATAACTATAAAATGTCTTTTAGATACTAAGCATTTTTGTAAACCTACAGAGCACAAACAATTAAAAATACAGACAGGAGCTTGTTATTATCATTGTCATTTTTATTATTTTGCTACTTTATTCAGGGCTTACTGTGTGTTAGATGCCCACTGGAAGCTTATAATTATGATTTATTATACATTATATTGATTATGTGCCAGACATATGTGATGAGAAATGAAAGCTTTAAAAAATAGTAGATAGGATTTACGTAAAGATACAGAGTGAGTAGAAGTTTTCTAGGTTAAAGAAGCAGAAGAATGACCTTTGGCAGAAGGAACACGTAACAAGATTGTGGGTTTGGCAGAAGAAACACCTAATGATACTGCCCGTTTGGGAGGAAGAGCAGCAAGTGCAAAAGGCAAGACGCTGAGTGAACTTTGCAGGGTTTTTCAGCAGTTCACTTTGCTATTTTGAAAAGTCTGAGATGTGAGAGGTTGGGAATGAGGCGAATACTTAGCTAAGGCAAGTTTATGATAGACTTTTTAATACTAAGGAAATGAGTAGCTCTTATCCTGTGGGCCATGGGAAATTTACCAGGTAGAATGCTTTGGGCTGCAAAGACTAATGAGCAGTGGCTAAAACCGTAGGAACCAGAGTTGTTTTGGTTGTTCAGTGATACTTTAGGATCCCTTGTGTCCCTCTTTCATCTGTGCTGTTGGCAGTGTCTTGTTCGTATCTCCTTTCATGGTTGGCTAATTCGCAACAACTCCAAACATCTTGTTCTCACAACACAACCTCACCAGGGCTGCTTTTCTTTAAATGGATCTTTTAAATAGGGAGAAAACTCAGAAGCATGCAGTGGACTTCCCGTAACATTTCATTGGCTGGACCACACCGCATCCCAAACCAGACACTGGGAAAGCAAATGTAATTATGTAATTAGCTTAGAACAATCATTCTCTTTCTGAAGCTCGGGAGGGATATTGGGATAATAAATTTCCCAATAGACCTGTGTTTCTTCTGCAAGAAAGAATAAGGAATGGGTACTGGTAGGGAGCCAGCAGTGTTTGCTATAGGGACTCATTGGAGAGATTTGAGCAGGGGAGTCACAAGATTAAATTGGAGCAGTAAGCCCTTCAGGTTATGGTGTAAAACAGGGGTTGGCAAGCTTTTCTGTGAAGGAACATGTGGGAAATATTTTAGACTATGTGGTCTCTGTCAAATCTACGTAACACTACTGTTGCAGTGTGAAAGCCACCGTGAATAATATGTAAGCAAGTAGGCATGACTGAGTGCCAATGAAACTTTATTTACAAAGCCGTAAGACAGACTGGATTTGGCCTGTGGCCTGTAGTTTTTTGACCCCTCATAGAGGATTGATGGAAGGTAACCAGGTAAAGAAAGCAGGAGACAAAGGAAGCTTTCGCAGTAATCGGCTAATGTTTCCTTGTTACACATCCTTGGACTGGTATCAGTGTATTATAAGATTTTCACCCATCCGTGGTGAAAAAAATAAAGTTAAGAATCTCAGTTATTCATTTTGAAATGTTGGCCTTTTTTGGTGTTTTGCCTTTTTCATTTGTTTTGCTTAAATTGTTTTTTTTCATGTAAGAAATAACACTGATAGTTGGCGTTTTTTTTTTTTTTTAAATAAAAGCCATTTTGTAAATGCTTATGTTCCCAGTAGCAGTGGGAATATAAAGCAGAGGCAGAAGAGAGGTATAGTCAACATGATTTGGTGATGCCTGAATGAGAAAAGTTTGGGGGACAGAGAAAAATCTCAGATGATTCACAGGTTTCCAGGTTGTGTATTAGCATTTAACCTGGACATGAGGAAGGAGTAGGAAGTTTTCTGGTGAATATGGAAGAATAAAGAGCAGCAGTTCAGCAGGAATGACAGATTTTTTTTCTGTGCATGTTTAATGGGATATTTGTAAAGGATATTTTCAGTAGGTCATTGGATAATCAGCATTTATAGCTTGTGTCCTACTAGTTCGACTATCAGTAATAAGACTTGTCTAAGATCCAATAATCTAAAAGTTGATGATAAATGTCCATGTGTGTCACCATCGATGACCGAAAGTCAGTCAGCGTCCATGGAATTGGGACAGATGATCTTAACAGATAAAGATGAACATTGGAGATGTATTTCTCATAGGGAATGATACTTTGCATGACCTGTGTGAGTCACAGCTGCCAGAAAACAAAGAAAGCAAGAAACGTATTAAAGAAGTACGGCAAATTCAGTCCTAGGGTGCCCTGTTTGGCTTCATGTCGTAGTTCAGACTTCTAAAATATTATTTTTGCAAAACGTGCTCTGTGTTTCTTCCCCTCTTGCAGCCTGCAACCAAATAGAACCCATTTTAGCAGGGGATTTCTATGTTCTTCTTTAACCAAAGTGACATATAAATCAGAAAAAGGAAGAGAAAGAGCATTTTTGTATAGGCTTGTTGCATATATATATATATATATATGTTTCAAGTTCTGGGGTACATATACAGAACGTGCAGGTTTGTTACATAGGTATATATGTGCCATGGTGGTTTGCTGCATCCATCCCCCCTGTCATATACATTAGGTATTTCTCTTAACGTTAGCCCTCCCCAATACCCCCACTCCCTGCTATCCCTCCCCTTGCCCTCCACTCCCGAAAGGCCCTGGTGTGTGATACTCTCCTCCCTGTGTCCATGTGTTCTCACTGTTCAACCCCCACTTATGAGTGAGAACATGCAGTGTTTGGTTTTCTGTTCCTGTGTCAGTATACTGAGAATTATGGTTTCCAGCTTCATCCATGCCCCTGCAAAGGACATGAACTAATCCTTTTTCATGGCTGCATAGTATTCCATGGTGTATATGTGCCACATTTTCTTTTTCCAGTCTATCATTGATGGACATTTGGGTTGGTTCCAAGTCTTTGCCATTGTAAACAGTGCCACAAAAAAAACATACGTGTGCATGTGTCTTTACAATTGAATGTTTTATAAACCTTTGGGTGTATACCCTGTAATGGGATTGTGGGGTCAAATGGTATTTCTAGTTCTGTATCCTTGAGGAATCACCATACTGTCTACCACAATGGTTGAACTAATTTACACTCTCACCAACAGTGTAAAAGCCTTCCTATTTCTCTACATCCTCTCCAGCATCTGTTGTCTCCAGATTTTTTTATGATTGCCATTCTAACTGGCATGAGATGGTATCTCAATGTGATTTTGATTTGCACTTCTCTAATGACCACTGAGGATGAGCTTTTTAAAATATATTTATTGACTGCATAAATGTCTTCTTTTGAAAAGTGTCTGTTCATATCATTTGCCCACTTTTTGATGGGATTGTTTGCTTTTTTCTTGCACATTTGTTTAAGTTCTTTGTCGATTCTGGATATTAGCCCTTTGTCAGTTGGGTAGATTGCAGAATATTTTTCCCATTCTGTTGGTTGCTGGTTCGCTCTAATGATAGTTTCTTTCACTGTGCAGAAGCTCTTAAGTTTAATTAGATCCCATTTGTCCTATTTTGGCTTTTGTTGCTATTGCTTTTGGTGTTTTAGTTATGAAGTTCTTGCCTATGCCTATGTCCTGAATGGTATTTGTATAGGCTAGTATTTAATGTAAACTTGAGAGTACCAGGATTATATTTAGAAAATAGGAACTAGATGGGAAAACTAGATAGGAATTTAAAGATTCTGAACTCCAACACAGTGTGGTTTCTTTGCTCTATTTTCACTGCTCTGAATTCACAACTATTAGTTTTTCATATGTATATATATAAAACATATATATATACACACATATGTATATATACACACACACACATATATATATACATATACACTATAGCTTTAAAAAGCACCATTCAAATAGTGATTTCTTATCATTTCTATAACTTTATTATAGAATTGACTATCCAAGTGTTTATAAGAATTATTGAGAATTTTCTACATAGTATCATCTCAGCCATGTCCACATGAGCTATCCATCACTTTGTGTTAATGAATAATGGTTCATTAGGAATATTGGATTTTTGCATTTAAAGTGATCAATATCTAATGCAGATAGGACCAGGGGCCACTCTTAAACATTAATGTCCCAGCACCTTTTTTTTTTTTTGAGACAGAGTTTCACTCTTGTTACCCAGGCTGGAGTGCAATGGCGCGTTCTCGGCTCACCGCAGCCTCTGCCTCCTGGGTTCAAGCAATTCTCCTGCCTCAGCCTTCCGAGTAGCTGGGACTACAGGCGTGCACCCACCATGCCCAGCTAATATTTTTTTGTGTGTTTTTAGTAGAGACAGGGTTTCACCGTTTTGACCAGGATGGTCTCGATCTCTTGACCTCATGATCCACCCGCCTCGGCCTCCCAAAGTGCTGGGATTATAGGTGTGAGCCACCGTGCCCAGCCTCCAAGCATCTTAAAATTACAATAAGGCTTTCATTATCTGACTTCTGCCCTACTGTCCATCTTTAGCCATTTTCCCTGTGTGCCGTTTCTCTGGCATTACTGAATGGCTGGTAATGCCCTACTCGCTCATCTTTCTATTCTAGGCAAATACATTGACTCTTTCAGGCCTTACTCCCTATCTTGCTGCCTCCTGGCATGCTGTCATCCTTTCCTGTCCTCTACCTCTTTTAATCTGGCTAGCCTCAATATTTAAGCCTCCACTTGTGCATGATTTCTACAAAAGCCAACCCTGATGTGCTTTATTTTCATTGTTTCTCAACCCTAACACCTAGTATGTATGTATAGCAGGACTCAATAAAAAATTGCTGAGTAAAATAAAGACTTTATACAAAGATGACTTGCAAGACTGTCCCCTTCAGTCTTGGAGGAGAGGGGACAGACATGGAACAATAATGTACAGTTCAGGTGGTAAAGATGCAGTAGAAAAATTAGTAAAGTACTAAGGCAGCCTCAAGGAAAGAGGTCCCTGTTTATCAGGAGAAAGACATGCAGAATCGAGGAAGGCTTTACATAGCGTTGTTTTAAAAGATAAAAAAACTTGTCAGAATAGTGGAGGGAAATATTTTAGGTATTAGGAAGACATTCTACACTAATAAATGTGTCAGTGATATTGGAAATCAATTATAAGGTACTGTTAGGAAGTGGAGAACAATATACTGTGTTATCTTTTATGTTCTGTATTTTAAAATTGTGTTTCTGGTGGTTTTGTTAATTTATGTTGGGTGAATGAATTTGTGAGTGAATGTTTGAGGTGGTTTTGTTCATTTATGTTGGGTGAATGAATTTGTGAGTGAATGTTTGACATGTTTGTATGTCTTCAATCTAGTGACATCTGATATCTCCCCAAGTGGTTTGTTGATGTTTTAGAGAATTATTTCTTAAGTAACTACTTCATGAAAGACTAAGTTCCATTTAAATGCTCAATTTATGAAACAAAATGAAATGTCTTAAATCTGTTTTACAAAGGCAGTAATTTTTCATGTTGTAAGCAGTTCATTTTAACTGAATATATGAATTTCTCTTCAGAACAAGACTTAAAGATGACATCAGAGGAAGAGCCTCAAAGGCTTAAAGGAAGTGAAAATAGACAGCCAGAGGCATGTCAAATTTTCAATTTAAATTTTGGGTTTAATATTGTTTTCTTTGCTTTAATAATATTAGATAGTCCAAATGAAATTACCTTTCAGACTAGGCTTTGAGAATCAATCGATTTCTTTTTTTGAAGAATCTTTTAGTACATGCTTAAAATTTATTTTAATAAATTTAGCAAACTTATTAAGAGAAGAATCAATATATTCTAATATTTGATATTTAACTTAAACATTATAACCCTCTATAAAATTTAGAATATTCTTATTTTAAATATTCTTGGGCTGGGCACGGTGGCTCATGTCTGTAATCCCAGCACTTTGAGAGGCTGAGGTGGGCAAATCACGAGGTCAAGAGTTTAAGACCAGCCTGACGAACATGGTGAAACCCCGTCTTTACTAAAACTACAAAAATTAGCTGGGCGTGGTGGTGGGTGCCTGTAATCCCAGCTACTCAGGAGGCTGAGGCAGGAGAATGGCTGGAGCCTGGGAGGCAGAGGTTGCGGTAAGCCAAGATTGCATCATTGCACTCCAGCCCAGGAAACAAGAGCGAAACTCCATCTCAAACAAAAATAAATAAATAAATAAATTCGTATTTGCCTTCTTGATTAGTTTATAGCTAATCTTTCTCTTTGGAATAGAGACCAAAAAAAAAATCCAGAACTTTGTTAACAAACACTCTAACATGATAAAGAAAGTAACATCAATTATTGGATAATATTATTAAGCAACTGAAATTATGAACAGTGTAACAGTGATGGTCCCTGAGCTGGATGCGTGGTAAAGGAGGAATCATGGCCAGTGACTGAGAACCTGCAGTTTGATCCTGTCCGTCCCTGATGCCAAGGTTAAAGATGCATTCTGCCTCTCACTGACCTCAGGGTTTCTGTTCAAAGAGAGAACCAGGTCTAAAAGCAACCCAACTGCCTGGTAACAAGGAGTATATCTTGAAGAATGGGACCTTTTGTGTTAATGTACAAACAGAATAACATTCTAACTTACTTAAGTTTCAGAAAATCAGTCATATCAATTAAACATTTTTATCCACTGTCATTCATACCCGTCAGAATATATTAGAACTGGATTTAAACAGGCAGTCTAGATGCATAACACTATCATATTACAGTGTATAATTTCAATTAAAATGTAAAAATTTGCATTTCTTTCTGTTTGGTGTGAATTTCAGCTCCTAATAATTTAAAATGTGCCTACACTCCAGCTTGTAATCTTTTAGAAAAGGACTTAAATGCACAGTAGGGGCTCACTATTAGGGTATGGTGAAGTAAAATTTTTTCAAGTGAGGAAGCCTTTGCAACATTACAAATCATTTGCTAATTTATTTTTGGTAGACTTAAAACATAAAGAATTAAGTTTAATCAAACAAATGGTGACAAAGTTAAGTTTGCTGGTTCATGTTTGTCTTCTCCCTTTGGCTAAGGTGTGTTATTTTTCATGAGTTAGTCAGAAGCCAGTGATGTGGCAGTAGCTAAACATAGATTCAAAAGTTAATTCTTGGCTGGGCACGGTGGCTCAAGCCTATAATCCCAGCACTTTGGGAGGCCGAGGCGGGTGGATCACGAGGTCAACAGATCGAGACCATCCTGGTCAACAAGGTGAAACCCCGACTCTACTAAAAATACAAAAATTAGCTGGGCATGGTGGCACGTGCCTGTAATCCCAGCTACTCGGGAGGCTGAGGCAGGAGAATTGCCTGAACCCAGGAGGCGGAGGTTGCAGTAAGCCGAGATCACGCCATTGCACTCCAGCCTGGGTAACGAGCAAAACTCCATCTCAAAAAAAAAAAAAAAAAAAAAAAGTTAATTCTTAATTTTAATTATTTAATTTTATTTAATTATTCTAATAGGTAAATTTTAATTATTTTCCAATTTTTTATTGTCCATACTTGATTACTTAAGAATAAAATTATTTTAAAAACATGCACTCCTAAAAAGCAGACATCTGAGAAATACAACAAGCAAATTAATCTTCTATTTTTGCATCTGCAGAAAATGTCTCAAGAACCAGACACAAATAAGGATTGTGAGAGAGAGGTACAACTTTATATTTAAATGTTTCTGTTAAATTCGATTTTTACATTATATGGTTTAACAAAGTGTAGTAAGTTTAGGCATGTATGATTCTATCATGTAGCAGCATAAATCATCAGTGAAAAATTTGGCATTTAACTCAAAAAGCTGAGTTCTGTAGACTGAGTTTTAAAAAGAGACAAACGCTGGAGATCCTCTTCATCGTTGTGGAATAATCCTGAATGGTGCTGTAAAATGCTAGGTGATGCCACTTGAGGAACTTTGGCTCAACCAGTTTTATCTTTCTTGGTTTTAGCGTGATTATCAACAGATAATGTGGCTAAAAAAGATAATTTCTTTTTCTGTATATCCTCCAGCTAGAAAATGTTATGGCTATTGAATGGGAAATCTGGGGAGCATCTCATTTTCTGGAATTCCTCGACAGCACCTCAGCAGTTTCACTCTGATCCTTGTGTTGTGGCAAACTTTGGTTCCCATGTTTCAGTGAGCACCTTCGTGTTTTTGATATCCAGGAACCAAATGGAAAAAGAACGATCAGAGGCAGTCAGGGAGAAGTATATCTTAGTGCAGAAAAGGGAAATCTCTTCTATTCCTGACCCTGAGGTCAATGTCTCATTCTCTAAACCTGACTGTTTAATGGAAAATCCAGGCGGTAAAGACAGAAGAAGACACATTTTGCATCTTTGTCTTTTTATTTATGTGTTTCCACAAGGCAAATGGGGTCAATGTTTATATTAGATTCTTAAGAGTGGTTGGGAATAAAAGCACAAAATGAAGGAGGACCCTTTTTGATATTTTAGAAAATTGTTTTATTCATTCAAACAGAAATAAAGCAAACTTTACAAAAATTTCAATGACATACTAATGATACAATAATTACATCTTAAAATTATATGGTAACAGTTCTGTATATACGATCAAATTTAAGTGTGAAATATTTTTAATTACTAAAATAATGACAAACTGAGTCAAGTGATAAAATAATTAAAACAAAAAGGTTCTTTGAATTCAATAAAGCAATAACCATTTTTAATATCAAACTTCCACTCAAGGCTGAAGAAGAAATGCAGAAGCATGGAAGTAATCATGTGGAATCACCAGAAAACCTGACTAACGGTGTCGCTCCTGGCTGTGGTGATTATGGCTTAATTCAACGAAGAAGGAGCAGAAAACCTGAAAATCAGCAATCTTCCAGCACAGAGAATGAACAGTATCACAGGCAAGCCTATGGCAACATTTAATAGTAGATAACTATGTGCTATCAAACTAATCCTAATTTGGGATAATATTCATGATGAACAAATTTTATACTTTTACTAGGATATTAACATTTGTCTGGTAATCAGAAAAATGAAAGTCAGCAATGAGTTATCGTTTTTTTCCACTCATTAATTTATTTGAAACATACCCAGTATTGGCAAATGTGAGGGAAAAGTCATTTTCTTTTCCTTTTAGTGAACTTTTATTTTAGCTTCATGGGTACATGTGCAGGTTTGTTATATAGGTAATATGTATTATGGAGATTATTTCCTCAGCCACATAATAGGCAAAATACTTAATAGGTAGCTTTTTGGTTCTCTCCCTCCTGCCACTGTCCACTCTCAAGTAGGCCCAGTGTCTGTGTTCTCTTTGCGTCCATGAGTTCTCATTGCTTAGCTCCCACTAGTGGGTAAGAACATGTGGCATTTGATTTTGTGTTCCTGCCTTAGTTTGCTTAGGATAATGGCCTCCAGCTCCATCTGCGTTGCTGCAGGAAATGGTCTCATTGAAAGAGACATTTTCTTACACTGTTGGTAAATATATTTTGAGTGTTAATTTAGTAGCATATTTACACACACACATATAGTAAGGATATTTGTATAGATATGTTACATATGTATAAGGACATTTATTGTAGCATTTTTACATCAAAATGTTGGAGCTACTTTAAATCCTTAACAATAGGAAATACCTCAATTTTCATACTGAGAAAAGAATATGGTATGCAACCATTTTTTAAAACTGTGGTTAGATCTAGAGTGTGTGGATTATTTCACAATTAACATGTATTTAAAGCATTTAGTTTGATGACACATCTTAAGATAATTTTGTTAGAATTCTTGTAATATCTGCTGTGTCGCAAGTGGAAGCTACATGCCACATTGACACTGTACCTTTTTAGCCACAAGATTGCTAGTTATTAAATTTTTGCTGTCGGTGCCTGAGTGCTGAAATAGTGGACCTCAATTTGAATATTGCCAAGGGATTGTGCATGGGGATCTATACTTCATATAAACACTTGAATATATTGGATAAAACTTGTTAAAATACATAAAAGGATCTTTGCCAGCTTTTTCTGCAAATAGCCAGTTAGTAAATATTTTAGGTTTTGTGGACTGTATGTATTTATTTTCTTGAGACACGGTCTCACTCTTACCCAGGCTGGAATGCAGTTGCATGATTGTGACTCACGGCAGCCTTGACTTCCTGGGCTCTGGTGATCCTCCCACCTCAGCCTCTCTATTAGCTGGGACCACAGCTGTGTAGCATCACACCCAGCTAATTGACTCTATGGATTATCAAGTGAATAAGCATGGCTTTGTTTCAAGATACTTTACTTACAAAAATAGGCAGTGGGCTGGATTTGGCTCACACGTGCTAATTTGCTGACCCCTGTGCTCAAAGGAAGGTGCTGCTAATGCAGTGCATCTTATTTATAAAAGTGCCCTAGATGCGTGACATTACCCTTCCTTTGAAAAAAAATATATTACAGTATTCTACTCACCATATATATTTTTAAACTTTTATTTATGTTATATTTTTAAATTGCATGTAAAGTTCTGGGGTACATGTGCAGATCTTGCAGGATTGTTGCATATTTTTCAACAGTGACTTCATGTAATTTTTTCATTTATATAACTCATATAATTATACCTCATATAATTTTTAAAATTTCACTTATAAAATAAGATTATTTCCTGCATGTTTTCTATTTTACTCCTATTAATAGAACTCAGTATTTTACTGTGATCAGTTACTTTGTATATTTGATGAGTATCAACTGTCTTAGAATTGGCTGATTTTTGTCAAGCAAGAAATAATCTCCTTGTAACTTTTAGTATTCCTTAGTCTTTACAAGCATGAGCAAAATGATAATCAGCTTATATAATCTACAAATGTTCAAGGGGTCTTTTAGTTCTATAATTTTAAGAATTTAATACCTTGGTCTGGTATTTTAAAACGCCATATTGTATAATTTTTAAAACCTTTAAAATACATAATTGTTACATAAAATTTGAAAGCTGCACTATTTATGTAAAATTTGAAAAATTCTATTTCTTATCTATCACTATTCCATGACTGTGGAAGAAAATTACATCATTCATAGTCACGACTCCTAAGTATGATGTCCTTCAAAGAACTGTCTGTTCCATTCACTCTTTCCATCTGCTCTTTCCATTCGCTCTTTCCATTCACTCTTTCCATTTGCTCTTTCCATTCGCTCTTTCCATTTGCTCTTTCCATTCGCTCTTTCCATTTGCTCTTTCCATTTGCTCTTGGCTTCACACCAGAAGTCTTCAGTTTCAGCACTCCTCCAAAATTGTTTTTCTCAGGGTTATCACAATTTCTTTTTGTAATAAATCTAGGGATTTTTTTCTTACACCTCATTTTAGTTAATCTGTCAGCAATATTTGACCCATCGGAGGACATGTCCTCCGTAACAGCATCTTCACTGGTTTTCAGGACCTCACTCCCTCAGGTGTTTCCTCCTGCTGTTCTGGTTCGTTCATCATGATCTGTTTTGCTTGCTTCTCCTCATCTTTCACCTTTCACACATTGCTGTTTCCAAGGGCTCAGTTCTCAGTCTTCTTTCTCGTGACTTTTTGTTTTTCTTTTCTTTTTTTCCTTTGAGATGGAGTCTCATTCTGTCATCCAGGCTGGAGTCCAGTGGTGTGATCTCGGCTGACTGCAACCTTTGCCTCCTGAGTTCAAGCAATTCTCCTGCTTCAGCCTCCCGAGTAGCTAGAATTACTGATGGTTGCCACCATACCTGGCTAATTTTTGTATTTTTAGTAGGGACAGGGTTTCCTCACGTTGGCCAGGCTTGTCTCAATCTTCTGATCTCTGGTAATCTGCCTGCCTCGGCCTCCCAGTGTTGGGATTACAGATGTGGGCCACCACCCACAGCCCCTCATGACTTTTTCTACTGTGTATATGCTAGTGATTTCCAAATGTATGTTTTAGATCTCTCTCCTTCGTTCCAGATCTCTATGTCAGTCTGCCTCCTTGACATCTCTCTTTAGTTAGTTATTGGGTATCACACACTAGTCAGATCCAAAATGGGGCTACTAATGTCCTTCCTGAAATCTACACCTCATTTAATCTTTCCTACTTTGGTTAATGGCAACCCTTCAGGTTGCTCTGCCTAAAACCTTGGTGTCATTTTTGACTCATCTTTCTCTGTCTCTGACACCTCACATCTAATCTTTCAGTAAATCTTGTCAGGTCTCCCTGAAGATTATATCCAGAAGCCAGTCATATCTTGTACATCTGAGCCACCATCGTCTGTAGTCTAGATGAGTGCCATAGACCTGGTAACTGATTGCCCTGGTTTAAAAAAAATTTCCTTTAAATCAATTCTTAACTCAGTGGATGTATTTAATACATCAGTCAAATTGTGTCATTCCTTTGCCCCACCCTTCTGATTATCTCCCATTTCACTCTGAGTATGTGTCAAAACTCCTCCTAATAACGAAAAGGCGGAACACCATCTGGCACATTATCTCTCCTGCTTAAACTTCTATTTCTTACTTGCTTTGCTCTGCTTCAGCCTCACTGAACTTCTTGCTGTTTTTTATCTGTCCCTATTGCTTAAAGACTCCAGGCACACCTCTGTATTTGGCTGTTACCTGTGTCTGGAAGGCCTTTTCTTCAGCTATCCTCCTGGCTTACTCTTTCTGTTCTTTAAGTCCTTTACTTAAAATCCTGTTTCTCAGCAGGGACTTTTCTGGCCACCCCAACTTTCCCACCACCCTTCCCCTCAAACACATGAACATTTTATTTTTCTGCTTTAGTCTTTCTCCTCTAACGTACTGTATATGTTGCCTTATCTGTCCATTATTATTGTGTGTTTATCGCATTCTCATGAATAGAATCTTTATTGTTCACTACTATATCCTCACTGCCTAGAAAAAGGCCTAGTGGCCAGATGTGGTGGCTCATGCCTGTAAGCCCAGCACTTTAGGAGGCTGAGTCAGGTGGATCATGAGGTCAGGAGGTCGAGACCATCCTGGCTAACACGGTGAAACCCTCTCTACTAAAAATACAAAAAATTAGCTTGCTGTGGTGACAAGCTCTTGTAGTCTCAGCTACTCGGGAGGCTGAGGCAGGAGAATCACTTGAACCCAGGTGGCGGAGGTTGCAGTGAGCCAAGATCGTACCACTGCACTTCAGCCTGGGCAACAGAGTGAGACTCTGTTTCAGAAAAAGAGAAAAAGGCCTAGCATATCAGATGTAGTTACCTAATAAATACTTATTAAATGAGTGAACGGAGTTTATCCTGGGTATATTGATTGACTGATTGATATTACTTGAAAAATGTTTGACATGGTTCATTGTAACAATTTTGCCTGGCAATTATGTGTATTTTTAAATTCTTTTAGCTCTTTATAATAAGCTACATTTCTTCATATTAGTTTTTTGTTTGGGGAGAAAAGCCCAATTTTGTGGTTATTCACTATACTTTTACTGATGATTATGATCATTGTAGTTATGGTAAAATGATTCAGAAGAATTGCAAACTTGACTGATATTTTATCAAAAAATGTTAGGGTGGTAAATTTAATGTACTTACAAATTCTTTCCAAGGGATTGTGAACCTTCAGTATTTGAAATAAAAAGAACAGAGTTGGAATTTTTTGCTTCCTATAGGAAGACATATATTGGCCAGGCACTGTCTGTTCTGATGGAGCAGCTGCTGCTTAACTGTCTTTCAGAAGGAAGCTGCTTACATTGATATTGGCTGGTGAGCAACGCCAGTGGTCATTGATCAATTGACTAGATTTAGAACTGGCTCTGGGTGTCTTCTTGTTATCATGGCTACAGGTCAGTTCTTTCCAAAGTTTGAGTCAACTTTAACTGGAAATTTTCTATTTAAAAGTTGCCTTCCATTAACTATGTTCAAAATGAAAGTATTTTAAATCCCAGAATTGTAGACTTATATTTTTTGATCAGGATGAATTGGTTAATAATAGGTCTCTGGAAAATCTATCTATCTATCATCTATCTATCATCTATCTATCTATCTATCTATCTATCTATCTATCTATCTATCTATCTATCATCTATCATCTATCTATCTATCTATCATCTATCTATCTATCTATCTATCTATAGTCTTATCTTAACCAGAGGAGTTCTCTGTACAGTTTATTTCTTAAAAATAATTGTTTTGTTTCTGTTCTTGGTATTTTTAGAAGCTTTTGCTCAAGTCCTAACATAATATTCAGTGGGAGATTTTAGTCTCTTTGTCAGTTCATGTATGTATATGGTAGTGATATTCTCTCTTTTTAAATTCTCTTCCTTGTTCACTTTCTTCTCTGTACAATAGTAATAACATTCTTATGCACGTTTACCTTATGAAAAAGTAATTCCAATTTTCTACTGGCAAATCCAGCTTTTTTTTTTTTTTTTGAGAGAGAGAATTTTGCTCTGTTGCCCAGGCTGTAGTGCAGTGGTGCGGTCTTTGCTCCCTGCAACCTCTGGCTCCCAGGTTCAAGCAGTTCTCTTGCCTCAGCCTCTGAGTAGCTGGGACTACAGGTGTGTGCCACCATGCCCAGATAATTTTTGTTTATTTAGTAGATATGGAGTTTCATCATATTGGACAGGCTGGTTTTGGACTCCTGACCTTGTGATCTACCTGCCTTGGCCTTCCTAAGTGCTAGGACTACAGGCATGAGCCACCACTCCTGGTCAAATGCAACTTTTTATATTTTGACTAAGTACTAGGCTAAAATTGAAAGAAATTTACCAGATCATTTTATTTTCCAACAAAATCATAAGTAATCAAAAATTCCTATTTTTAAAATACAAATAATGACATTCAGATATTTTAAAAGTAAGGATACTCCCTGATATAGTTTGGCTTTGTATCCCCAACCCAAATCTCAAGTAAAATTGTAATTCCCAGGTGTTGAGAGAAAGATCTGGTGGGAGGTGATTGGGTCATGGTGTCAATTTCCCCCATGCTGTTCTCATGATAGTGAGTTCTCACAAGAGCTGATAGTTTCATAAGGGACTCTTTCCCCTTCACGTCTCTCTCTCTCCTACCACCTTTTGAACAAGGTGCCTGCTTCCCCTTCACCTTCCATCATGATGTTTCCTGAGGCCTCCCTAGCCAGGTGTAAGTGTGAATCAATTAATCCTGTTTCCTGTCTGAATTACCCAGTCTCAGGTATGTCTTTATAGCAGCATGAAAATGGACTAATACAGAGAATTGGTACCAGGGATAGTGGGGTACTGCTGTAAAGATAACCTGAAAAATGTGGAGGCAACTTTGGAACCAAGTAACAGACAGGGGTTCTAACAGTTTGAAGGACTCAAAGGAAGACAGGAAGATGTGGGAAAGTTTGGAACTTCCTACAGACTTGTTGAATATTTTTTTACCAAAATGCTGATAGTGACATGGACAATGAATTCCAGGCTAAGGTGGTCTTAGATGGAGATTAGGAACTTTTCAGGAACTGGAACAAAGGTGACTCTTGCATATTTTAGCAAAGAGACTCCCAGCATTTTGCCCCTGCCCTAGGAATCTGTGAAATTTTGAACTTGACAGAGATAATTCAGGGTATTTGGTGGAAATTTCTAAGCAGCAAAGCATTCCAAGAGATGAACTGGTTGATTCTGAAAGCATTCAGTTTTATGAATTCACAAAGAGATGGTTTTAAGTTGGAACTTATGTTTAAAAAGGAAGCAGAGCATAAATTTGGAAACTTTACAGCCTGACTTTGGTGTGGAACAGAAAAATATTTCATTTTCTGGGAAGGAATGCAGGCTGGCTGTAGAAATTTGCATAAGTAATGAGTAGTGGAATGTTAATCACCATGACAATGAGAAAAGTGTCCCCAGGGCATGTCAGAGAGTTTTTGGCAGCCACTCCCATCACAGGCCTGGAGGCTTGGAAGGAAAGAATGGTTTCATGGGTGGGCTAAGGCCCTTGCTACTATGTGCAGCCTCGGGACTTGGTGCTCTGTGTTGGGCTGCTACAGGTCCAGCTGTGGCTAAAAGGGGCCAAAGTGCACCTTAGCCTTTATGAAGTAATTACCCAGTCTTCAGTATTTCTTAATAGCAGTGTGAAAATGAACTAATACACTCTCTCTCAAGACATTTTCCCAATTTCATCTTTCATGTTCTGTGTACCACAGCTATTTTCAAAACTTCATTTAGAGGTAAACTTTATTATATTGAGTCACCCAGGCTGGAGTGCAGTGGCGTGATCTCGGCTCACTGCAACCTCTGCCTTCTGGGTTCAAGAATTTTTCCTACCTTAGCCTCCCAAGTAGCCAAGACTACCAGCACGCACCTGACTACTTTTTTGTATTTTAGTAGCGTGGAGGTTTCACCATGTTTCCTAGGCTGGTTGTGAACTCCTGAGCTCAGGCAGTCCACCTGCTTTGGCCTCCTAAAGTGCTATTTGCAATAGCAAAGATTTGGAAGCAACCGAAATGCCTGGCCAGGTGTATGAACTTTATAGTTGTTTAGATTCTGGGGAGTAGGGAATGATTTTGTTCATGAATTTGAGAAAAGCAAACTATTGACACTATCACAGGTTATTACTTCTGGATTATAAAGTTCTAAACTATTAAAGCCATGTTTCCTTGTGCCAATAGTGTCATCAGCATGTATTGTATGCTCAATGAGTATTTGTTGAATGCATGAATAAACAGTTGAAGAGATGAATGAATGTCATTGATGAATTTCTTTAAAAAACTAAGTTTTTAGTTTTCTGAAAGTAGTAGGTTTCCAAACTTGCCTCTGTATAGATTCATTTTTTAACAAAATGCAAGATTCAGAAATTATTAGTTATAATTATGGTCAAAAATGGAATGATAATATGGATTCAATCTGCTATCATATCTCTTAAAAACACTTGAAAATAAATACTACTTACACAGCATATTGGAAAACACATGTTTTGGAGGCAGAATTCTTGGATTCTAATGCTCTGTCAACTACTGACCAGCTCAATGGGCTGGGGACATTTATATGGTCTTTCTGCGCCTAGTTTCTCCTTTAATAGAATCCCTAATATATTACCTAGCTCACAGAGATGTTATGATGACTAAAATGAGCTTGACGCATGCACAGTACTTAGAATGATGCATAGTGCCTGCATAAGTCCTGGAAAAGATAATATTATCGTTAAAAAAGGGTTCCCCTCATGTAAGAAGAAGAGTAATGTTTTTCAGATAGGATTTAGTGCCAGTAAAAGCTTGCTTTTATTGAAAAAGACAACAATGAGAAGTCCTGGTATATTTCTTTCTATCACATAATACAAGTAACATATTTTTTCTTTTGCCTTGACTTTCAGAAAGCTTGATCTAAATTTAATTCTTTGTAATGATATTATTATTACCATATTTTTATTCTCCCTTAATGTTACTCTTTCTGTTTGTAGTTTATTTCTCCTTGTGAAAATGATTATATTTATATTACCTCTTAAAAAATGACCTGAAAACTTAATGAATAGAAGGAATAACGTATAAATGCAGAGATTTTATATAATAACACTAGTTTTGGACATTCTTTTTACTTTATGTATTTGCTATTTGTCTAAAAGGAATTGTTCTTTTTTCAGGCCTGAAAAGAAACCTAATGAAAACAACAAGGTACTGTTAAAAGTAAATTATCTAAAACATTATTGTCAAAAAAACACATTACAAAAGGAAAAGTGAGCATGTTTTGTTATAAAGACATTTAGTTAGAAGAAAAAGGGCTTAAGGAACAGTGGCCATTGTTAATGGCCTTTTAAGAAAAATCTGTTGTTTTAAAAGTGCCTTGGGCTGGGTGCAGTGGCTCACACCTGTAACCCAGCACTTTTGGAGTCCGAGGCGGGTGAGTCACAAGGTCAGGAGATTGAGACCATCCTGGCTAACATGGTGTAACCCTGTCTTTACTAAAAATACAATAATTAGCTGGGTGTCGTGGTGCATGTCTGTAATCCCAGCTACTCAGGAGGCTGAGGCAGGAGAATCACTTGAATCCAGGAGGCGGAGGTTGCAGTGAGCTGAGACTGAGCCACTGGACTCCAGCCTGGTGACAGAGTGAGACTTTGTCTTAAAAAAACAAAAACAAAAAGAAGTGCCTGTGGTTTTTCTCATATAGAAAGATGAATAAATACCACTTCTTTACATCTAGTATATTCTATAAATATTTTGAGGACATTTGAAACAGTATTATTTGTCTTACAGGTCAAAAGCCAAATACATTCAGTGGATGATCTTGATGACATAAGTTGGCCATCCGAAGTAGCCTCAGAGGATTATGATTCGCTTTACTCTAATTATGAGACTTATATGTTGCTCAATGAACAACTCAACATGGATTTTAATGGTATGAGTACTACATAAGCAGAAGACCTTGTTTGTATCCTACAGTAATATTCACACACATTGCTTAGCATTGCATGGTAGAGCACTAACATGTGATAAGGTTGATTATCTCAGAAATATGTTTAATGTTAAAACAGACTGAGAAATAATATATATTGTCTACCAAAGAGCTATGATAACTCTCTTGTCCCTTTGTCAGTGTGAAGGGCAGTCTCAGCGTTTTTGTTGACTCTGCTTCTTACCTATGCCTTCCTTTCAGATCAGGTTACCATTCTTTCCCACTCAAGAGTACTGCAATCACCTTAGAACTGTTTTTCCTGCTACCCTACTTCCAGAGACCATGGTCTACTCTGAATCTATAATTGTTCATTTTTAATATTTCAGATCTGATGTCTCTTGCTCATAACTCAGCTTACCACATCCCATTGCTATAAGGTTAAGATTTGAATCCTCTAGCTCTCTCCTGCATCTTGTAATACCTTTTTTTCTCTGTGACCTCGCCATTGTCTTAGATGTTTATTCCTGCAATTGATAGCTTTAGTGAGGTATAACTGGTATGTGATAGACTACATGTGTGTAAAATGTACAATTTGATAAGTTTTGGCATATGTATGCACATGTTAAAGCATCACCATAATCAAGAGCAGTAACAAACCCATCATCCATAAAAGTTTCTTCCTGTCCCTTTGTATTCCCTTATTAAGAAACTACTAAATGTTTAAGTATTTGTACTACTTTCCATTCCTATCAGCAGTATTTGGCAATTCTTATTGTTCCATATCATCATGAGCTGTTAGTATTGCTGTTAATTAGTTTTTAGTTTTAGCCATTCTAATGGGTACATGTTGTGTGTGTCATGATGGTGTGAATGTGCATTACCCTAAGGACTAAGACTGCTGAACATCTTCACATGTGCTTATTTGCCACCTGTATATCTTCTTTAGTGACTTATCTTTTCCAATCTGGATAGCTTATAAAGATTTTAAAATACATAGTTTTTATTCTTATTTGTTGAGTTTTAAGAGGTTTTTAAAAATAGATTCTCTTTGGAATGATTTTTCCCAGTTTGTGGCTTGACTTTTTGTTGATAATATATTAGTTTTTTCATTTTGATGAAGTCTGATACATCCGTTTGTTTAATTATGGATTTTGTTTTGTGTCTCATATCTAAAAAATCTTTGTCCAGCACAAGACTTCAAAGATTTTCTTCTCTGCTTTCTTGAAGAATTGTCATGGTTTTAGGTTTAGATCTGCAATCCACTTTGTGTACACTTTTGTATGTGGAGTGAGGTGTGGATGCAAGTTCATTTTATGGATGTGGATATCTAATTGTTCCAGCAGCATATGTTGAAAAGGCTGTCTCTTCTCCATGACACTGCCATTGTGCCTTTGTGAAAAATAAGTTGGCTGTATGTTTGCGGGTCTATTTCTGGACTGTGTGTGTGTTCCATTGGTCTACATATTCTTCCAGAGTTTAGCTGATAAACCAATCATAAGTTGAAAATCCACTTACTACCCAATAAACCCATCATACATTTGAAACATTCTACGTAGAATCATCTTAAATTGGGGACTGTCTTTACCTGGCTTTCTTTGTGTAGGTCTAGCATCCCTAATCCAAAATCAGAAATTCTACGAAATCCAAAACTTTTTGTGTGCCAACATGATACCACAAGTGGAAAATTTTACACTAGACCTCAGGTACACACATTTTTATTTGCAAATTTACTAAAAGTATTCCACGAATGTACCTGTAAGCTCTGCATATAAGGTGTATGTAACATAGGTTATTTTGGTTTAGACTTGGGTTCCATCCTTGAGATATCTCATGATATATGTGCAAATATTCAAAACCAAAAACACTTTTGATACCAGACACTTTGAGAGATACTTTCCCTGTAACAGTATCACACTGTTTTGATGACTACAAATTTTTACTAAATTTTGACATCAGCCCTTCAGTTTTCTTCTATTTTAAGGGTTATTTTGACTATGCCGAATCTTTTGTATTTCCATATGAGTTTTAGAATCAGGTTGTTAGTATTTTTAAAAGCCTACTGTCCTCGGAATTAGACTGAGTTTGTGTTGAACGTGTACATTAATTGGGAGCGGATTGACATTCTAATGATAATGCATGTTTCCACTCCTATGAAATTGTTTCTGTCTATTTATAAAGGTCAAATTTAATTTTCTCAGTAATATTTTGTAGTTTTTAAATATGTGTATCTTTCTTTCTTTCTTCTTTTTTTTTTTTGAGACAAAGTATCACTCTGTCACCCAGGCTGGAGTACAGTGATGTGATCTCAGCTCACTGCAACCACTGCTCCTGGGGTTCAAGTGATTCTCCTACCTCAGCCTCCTGAGTAGCTGGGATTATAGGCATGAGCCACTGTACCAAGCTAATTTTTGTATTTTTAGTAGAGATGGGGTTTCACCGTGTTGGCCAGACTGTTCTTGAACTTCTGACCTCAAGTGATCCTCCCAGCTTGGCTTCTCAAAGTGCTGGGATTACAGGTATAAGCCACCCCAGCCTTGATGTTTTCATATCTTATCTGATTCATCAGTGTCCCATTTTGTAATGAAGTTATAAATGATATTTTTTAAAATTTCAGGCTGTTTGTAGCTAGTATATGAAAATACAGCTGATTTTTTAATGTGGACTTTTGTATCCTTCAGCCTTGCTAAACTTACTTATTAGTTTTAGTACCTTCTTTGGAAGATTTGATCAGATTCTATACACACAAGAAAGATTATTAAATCTTTTTATTCTCAAACTACTGTTTTACTCAAGATAGGAAATCTTTTAGACTTGTGGCAAAATAGTCTCTGTTGCAGTTAACTATGCCATTGTAGTCTGAGAGCAGCCAGGGAGGATACATACATTAATGAACACAGCTGTGTTCCAGTAAAACATTATTTACAAAAAGAAGAAGCTGGCCCACAGGTTGTAGTTTATCTGCCCCTATTATGTGATGATGGTTGTGAACAAAGACAGTTTTACTTCTTCTTTCCAACCTGGATACCTTTTATTTCTTTTTCTTGTCTGACAGCACTGGCTAGAATCTTTAGCACAGTGCTTACTAAATTTTGAACTGCAGACATTCAGTTTGTTGTGGTGATAGGTGTTAGTTGTAAATTTATCATAGATGCATTGTCTCACACTGATGAATTTCATATGTATTCTTAGGTTGATGAGAGTTTTTCTTTTAAATCAAGAATGAAGTTGAATTTTACCAAATGCCCTTTATCTACTTAAATGATCATATGGCTCTTTTCTTTTAGTTTTTTAATGAGGGGAATAACTGATATTTTAATGTTAAACAAATCTTGCATTTTAGAATTAATCCCATTTGCTTAGGATGTAGGCTTTTAAAAAGTGTATCACTGGGGCCAGACACAGTGGCTCATGCTGGTAGTTTCAGCACTTTGGGAGGTCAAGGCAGGAGGATGGCTTGAAGCTGGAGTTTGAGACCAACCTGGGCAACAATGGTCCTATATTTATTTGTATTCAGTTTGCCAAAATTTTGTTTAGATATTTTTTAAAGACTATTTTAATGTAGTTGTAGGTTTACAGCAGCATTGAGAGTAAGGTACAGAGATTGTCCATGTACTTCCTGTCCCCAGACACAGATAGCCTTCCCCAATATCAGTATCACTCACTAGGGTGGTACAGTATATGACTGATGAATCAAAATGGCATGTCATAATCATCCAAAGTTCATAGTTTAGATTAGTGTGCACTCTTGGTGTTGTACATTCTGTAGGTTTGGAAATTGTACAAAGTATTTTTATGGCTCTAAAACTCCTTTATGTTTCACCTATCTGCCCTTTCCTGTCCTCCTTAACCCCAGGCAACCACTGATCTTTTTACAGTATCCATAGTGTTGCCTTTTTGAGGATGTCATATGAGTTCCTGTATGAGGAAATCATACAGTGCATAGCTTTCAGATTGGCGTCTTTCACTTAGTAATATGCATTTATGTTTCCATCACATCTTCTCATAAGCTGACACCTCATTTCTGCTTGGCATTGAATAGTAGTTTATTGTATGACTGTACCAGACGTTGTTCATTCGCCTATTGCAGGATATCTTGGTTGCTTCAAAAACTGGTTAAATTTTTTGTCAACGTTCATGAGGGAGTTTTCTTTTTTGCAATATCATTTGATTCAGGGTAATACTAGCATTGTAGATTGAGCTGTGTTGTATTTCTCCTCTTTATATTTGTGGGGAGATGTTGTGTAAAATTATATTATGTCTTCCTAAAATGTTTGATAGAATTCACCAGCATAGCTGTCTGGGCTTGGAGTTTTCTCAACTTCATTTTCTTTTGTAGATATAGGGTGATTTGGGTTATCTATTTCTTCTTGATTGAGCTTTGGTGATTTTTACATTTCAAGGAATGTGTCCATTTAACCTACGTTGTCATGGTTAGTTACATAAAACTCAAACTATTATTTTTCTATTCTTTTAATATCTGTAGAATTTATAAAAATGTCACATTGGGCCGGCATGGTGGCTCATGCCTGTAATCCCAGCACTTTGGGAGGCCAAGGCGGGTGGATCACCTGAGGTCAGGACTTTGAGATCAGCCTGGCCAACATGGTGAGACCCCATCTCTTGTAGAAATGCAAAAATTAGCTGGGCATGGTGGTGGGCACCTGTAATCCCAGCTGCTCGAAAGGCTGAAGCAGGAGAATCACTGGAACCTGGGAGGTAGAGGTTGCAGTGAGTGGAGATTGTACTATTGCACTCCAACCTGGGCAACAGAGCGAGACTCTGTTTCAAAAAAAAATCTACATATTTCTGAAATTAGTAATTTGTTCTTTTTTTTTTTTTTTGTATGATCAGCCTGGTTAGATCAAGGTTTGTCACTTTCATTGACCTCCTTAAAATGTTTGGTTTCATCGAGTTTCCCTATTGTTTCTCTGTTTTACTGGTTTCGTCTTGGATGTCATCATGTTTGGCCTGCTATCACAAAACACCAAAGACTGGGTAGCTTATAAACAACAGAAACTGATTTGTTACATTCTTGGAGGCTGCAAAGTCCAAGATCCAGGTGCCGGGATATTTAGTGTCTGGTGAGGGACCAATTCTTGGTTTCTAGGTTTCCTTTTTTCCCCTGTGTGCTACATATGGCAAAAGGGGTGAATGAGCTCTCTGGGCTCTCTTAGATAAGGGCACTAATCCCATTCATAAGGACTTGGGTTCCATGAGGTAGTCGCCTCCACAAAGCAGCAATTTCTAATAACATCACCTCTGTGATTATGTTTCAACATAGGAGTTTTGGGAGAACACAAATGTTCAGACCATAGCAGATGTTTGTTATATCATTTCCTCTGCTTCTTTTGGGTTTAATTTGCTCTCTCTCTCTCTCTTTGAATTTTGTTCTTTTATACTTTCTTAAGACAGAAGTGAAGGCCATTGATTTGAGGGTCTTTCAGTATAAACATTCAGTGCTAACTTTTTATTTAAGTACTGTTGTAGCTATATTCTACAAATTCTGTCGTACAGTATTTTCTTTCTTTCTTTCTTTTTTTTGAGACAGAGTCTTGGTCTGTTACCCAGGCTGGAGTGCAGTGGCACAATCTTGGCTCACTGCAACCTCTGCCTCCTGGGTTCAAGCAATTCTCCTGCCTCAGCCTCCTGAGTAGCTAGGATTACAGGTGTGTGCCACCTGCCTAGCTAATTTTTGTATTTTTAGATGGGGTTTCACCATGTTGGTCAGGCTGGTCTCAAACTCCTGACCTCATGATCCGCCTGCCTCGGTCCTCCAAGTGCTGGGATTGCAGGCATGAGCCACTGTGCCCAGGCAGTATTTTCATTTTTATTCAGTTCAAAATAGTTTCTAATTCCTCTTTGCATCACCTCTTTGACCTAGGGTTATTTAGATGTGTGTTACTTTGTTTCCAAATTTTTGAGTATTTTCATGAGATATTTTGTTATTGATTTCTAATTTGATTCATTTGTGGTCAGGGGTCATACATTATATGACTTAAATCCATTGACTTAATTCCTTTATGAAGATTTATTGTATGGCCTAGAATATGGTCTGTTTTACTAAGTGTTCTTGAGAAACACAGTGTTCTTCAAGAATACTGTCATCTTGCTGATTTTCTGCCTCCTTTTTCTATCACGTATTGAGTAAGCAATATTGAAATCTCAGTCTCTACCGGTGAATTTGTCAATTTCTTTTATCAGTTTTTTTGCCTATGTTTTTGATGCTGTTATGTTACTAGTACATAAACATTTAGGATTAGGTGTTCTTGATTAATTGAACATTTTATCATTATGAAATGATGTTGTTTATAGCTAGTAATATTGTTTGCTGTGAAATCTATGCTGATATTACCATAACTATTCCTGCTTAGTTTTCTTTTGTCAATTGTTTGTGTGGTATTTATTTTTTCTTCTTTTAATTAATTTGCATTTTTACATGTAAAATGTGTTTCTTATAGGTAGCATGAAGTAGGATTTGCTTTTTATAGAGTTTGACAATCTGTCTTTTAATTTAGGTTTTAAGGCCAGTTTTATTTATAATGTGATTATTGATATATTAATAGTTAAGTTTATCTGTCATCATGCTGTTTGATTTTCATTAGTTCCAGCTGTTCTTTTTTCCCTTCTTTTTCTGCTTTCTTTTCAATTAGTTATATAACTTCTATGATTTAGTTTTATCTCTCTTTTATTGGCTTATTGGCTATAACTCTTCTTTTGCTATCTTGGTGGTTGCATTACAATTTGTACTGTATGATTTTAAATTATCACAGCTCACCTTCAGGCAATATTATGTCATATCATATATGGCATAAGAAAATTAGAGTAGTATACTTTCATCTCCTGTCTCCCAGCCAGATTTGTGAGATTATAGTTTTCATTAAGTTTAGAACGTTTCTGGCCATTTTATCTTTATGGTTTGTCTTTCTACCTTTCTCTTTGGGGATTTATATATTATTGCTTAAAGTTTTCTCATAGTTCTCTGATGTCTCAAATTTTTGAATCTTCTTTTTTTGTGATATCTAGTCTGTATTTACTTCCACTCAGTGTTGTTTTCAGTTCTGACTTTTCTTTTTTGAGACAAATTTCACTCTGTTGCCCAGGTTGGAGTGCAGTAGATCGATCACCACTCACTCCAACCTCTGCCTCCTGGGTTCAAGCAATGCTCCTGCGTCAGCCTCCTGAGAAGCTGTGGTTATGGGTGTCTACCACGATGCCCAACTAATTTCTTTGTATTTTTATTAGAGAGGGGGTTTCATCATGTTGGTCAGGCTGGTCTTGGACTCCTGACCTCAAGTGATTTGCCTGCCTCAGCCTTCCAACGTGCTGGGATTACAGGTATGAGCCACCGTAACTGACCTAGTCTTAACTTTTTAATTTGAATTCCTACTAGTGCAGTTTGCTTTCAAAAAATACCTTCCATACCACTGCTTGAGATTTATTTGTGGACACAGTTGACTTACTTATAAACAACCCGATCTTTCTGGTCTTGCATTATGATTTGGTCTAACTTTCCACTCCTGAGGTAAAGTGTTTCTGATAACACTATTCTTTATTTTGTGAAATTTTTCCAGTATCAGTCATAGGAATGGACACTCTTCCTGGTATATTGTGAGCAACAGGCACTACTTCTTCTAATTTTTTTTTTTAATTTTTTATTGGATTATAGGTTTTGGGGTACATGAGCAGAGCATGCAAGACAGTTGCATAGGTACACACATGGCAGTGTGCTTTGCTTTTCTTCTCCCCTTCACCCACATTTGGCATTTCTCCCCAGGCTATCCCTCCCCACCAATACCCCCTGGCCCTCCCACTGGCCCTCCCCTTTTCCCCCCAATAGACCCCAGTGTTTAGTACTCCCCTTTCTGTGTCCATGTGTTCTCATTTTTCATCACCCACCTATGAGTGACAATATGCGGTGTTTCATTTTCTGTTCTCGTGTCAGTTTGCTGAGGATGATGTTCTCCAGATTCATCCATGTCCCTACAAACGACACAAACTCATCATTTCTGATTGCTGCATAATATTCCATGGTGTATATGTGCCACATTTTTCCAATCCAGTCTATTATCAATGGGCATTTGGGTTGATTCCAGGTCTTTGCTATTGTAAACAGTGCTGCAATGAACATTCGTGTACATGTGTCCTTATAGTAGAAGGATTTATAGTCTTTTGGATATATACCCAGTAATGGGATTGCTGGGTCAAATGGAATTTCTATTTCTAAGGCCTTGAGGAATCGCCACACTGTCTTCCACAATGGTTGAACTAATTTACACTCCCACCAACAGTGTAAAAGTGTTCCTTTTTCTCCACATCCTCTCCAGCATCTGTTGTCTCCAGATTTTTTAATGATCGCCATTCTAACTGGCGTGAGATGGTATCTCAATGTGGTTTTGATTTGCATCTCTCTGATGACCAGTGATGATGAGCATTTTTTCATATGACTGTTGGCCTCATATATGTCTTCTTTCGTAAAGTATCTGTTCATATCCTTTGCCCACTTTTGAATGGGCTTGTTTGTTTTTTTTCTGTAAATCTCTTTTTTTAAGAAAATATTTCCCTGGTCTCAAGTAGTTTCCTAGCACGCAGGTAGTGTTCATTACTCTGTTAAATAAATATCCCAGGGGGTACTTTTGCAGATCTCCAGTGTTCTTTTCCTGTACTGCTGTCATCTTTCAGTGTTCTGTTTTGTGGTTTCTGTCTACCTTGGTTTTTTGAGACTCTTGGCTTCATTGTGCCAACTCAAGGAATCTGGTGGACTGCACCTCAGTTTTTTTTCTCCTGGTATGGTGGCCTGGAAACTTTGTCAAGTTAGGGAGCTGGGGTGTTGGTAAGGCTTACTTCATGTGTTTCCTGTCTTACGGGATCATTGTCTTCATTACCTGAAGTCCATGTTCTCGAAAATCACTGTTGTATGTATTTTGTCTTTTTTGTCTTTGTTTCAGACAAGAAGGTAAATCAGTATCTGCTGCTCCATTGTGGCCAGAAGAGACTGCAGCAGAGCTTCAGCATCTTCCATACTGGCTGGAATATTTCTCTACATCTTTTACTTAACTGCTTCCTTCTTGTCCTTCATTAATCAGTGTAGCCATCTCTTTTCAAGAGCCCAGTATATATCGAATTCAATGTGATCATAGAATTGTTTTCTTGCAGCATCCATCTGAATTTGTAATTTCACTTTTATTGTCCTTGTTCTTCAGTACACTTAAAATTAAACAAGAGCAGAGTTATTGTTTGTTTTCTCTGCAAAGCTCAGTAGAATGTCTTCCACATGGTAGGAAATCCGTGCATATCTGTTTGGTGTATGGATGGGTGAATGTTAAAATGCACAGGACTTTATATCCAAAAAGTACTCATATATTTTATTTCTACCTTGTTTTCCCTGATGCAGATTCTGCCAGCCTGTCAAAAATCCAGGATGCAGTTCTTTCCGATGAACACTTACTAGAACTTCAAAATAATCAGTGGGAACAACTTACCATAGAAATGGAACAAATGGAAAATATGATTCATGTACTAGAGAAGGAGCTATCTGAAACAAAGGAAGCACAATTACCGTTACTGAATCAAAAAGGTGAATTTGAGCAAGAATTCTCCACTTTGAGGTATGATATTCTAGTTTAAAAAATATTTTAACTTTTTAATACTAAAGATATCTGTGAGAATTGTTGTGATTGTGACTTTCTAGAGCTTAACAGGAGAAAATGTCTTGGTCTTGTGGAGTATGAAAATCTTGGAAATAATATAACAAATTCTTCATTGTGATTCTTCTAATAATTGCATATTCTTTTATATTATGATTTTAATGGCTATATAGAAGTCTGCCATACAGAAATCTCATAATTTAACAAATTGAATGTGGAGTTTTAAATTCTTTTGTGTTAGAATTAATGCTGCAAGGAACATCTTTTATTATTATTAACATTATTACCATTATCATTATTAGACACTATTATTAGACATTATTATTAGACAGGGTTTTGCTCTGTCACTGAGGCTAGAGTGCAGTGGTGCAATCATAGCTCACTACAGCTTTGAACTTTTGGGCTCAAGGGATCCTCTCACCTCAGTTTTTTAAATAGCTAGAAGTATAGGTACACACTTCCATGCCTGGCTAGCTTTTTAAACTTTTCATTAAGACAAGGTCTCACTATGTTGCCCAGGATGACCTCCAACTCCTGACCTCCAACAATCCTCCTGCCTGAGCCTTTCAAAGCATTGGGATTAAAGGCATGAGCCATTGCACCCAGTCCAGAGCATCTTTTCTATAAATTATTTTCTAGATTTTGAATTATTTACTTTAAATAAAGTCTTCAATATAGAATTTTTTATTTAAAATATGGAAACTTTTTAAAAAAGGCCTTGGATCAATATTTCTAAATTGTCTTCAGGAATATTTGTATTTAATGCATGCTGGAGTCAATACCTAGGTGATGGATTGATAGATGCAGCAAAGCACCATGACACACATTTACCTATGAAAGAAACCTGCACATTCTGCACATGTACTCCAGAAATTAAAAATTAAAATTAAAAAATAATATTTGTATTAATTTACAGTTCAATCAAGAGAGCATGAAATGGCCATTTGTCTCAAATCAGAATACTTTTTAAAAACTTTTTACTTCTTTTTATTCCGTGTTTAAATTTACTTATTTCTATGTCAGCAGCTTTAGGGGTACAAGTTACATGGATTAATTGTATAGTGGCAAAGTCTGGGATTTGAGTGTACCCATCACCCAATAGGTAGTTTTGATTTCTCATCTTTCTTCTTCCTTCTTCTGAGTTTCTGATGTCATTACACCACTCTGCCTTTACAGTCCCATATCACAGCTCCCACTTATAAAAGCATGTGGTATTTGTTGTTTCATTCCAGGGTTACTTTATTTAGAATAATGGCCTCTAATTATCTAGGTGTCTGCAAAAAACATTGTATTATTATTCTTTATGGCTGAGCAATATTCTGTGGTATGGGTGCATACACACACACACACACACACACACACACATGCATATATGTATAGACACCACATTTTCTTTATTCTAGACACCAGTTGGATACTGGTTGATTCCATATCTTCGTATATTGTGAAATGTGCTGCAGTAAACATATGTATGCAGGTGTTTTTTTGATATAATAATTTATTTTATTTTGGGTAGATATCCAGAAATGAGAATGCTGGATAGAATGGTAGGATGTACCTTTATGAGTTATTTGATGAATCTCTGTACTGTTTTCCATAGATTTTGTACTAACTTGGATTCCTACGAACAGTGTATAACTGTTCTCTTTTTGTCACATCCACACCAATATCTATTGTTTTTTGATTTTTAATAATCCCAGTTTGGCTACAATGAGGTGATGTCTCATTTTGTTTCATTTTACATTTCCCTCGTAAGTGATGTTTAGCGAGTTTTATATGCTTGTTCACCATTTGTATATCTTCTTTTGAGAAATGTCTATTCACGACATTTGCCCACTTTTTAATGGAATTATTTGTATTTTTCCTGCTGATTGGTTTGAGTTTCTTGTAGATTATGGATATTAGTCCTCTGTGAGATTCATAGTTTGCAAATACTTTTTCTCATTCCATAGGTTGTTGGTTTACTCTGATGATTATTTCCTTTGCTGTGCTGAAGCTTTTTAGTTTCATTAGGTTTCATTTATTTATTTACTTTCATTTTTGTTGCATTTGCTTTTAGGGTCTTCCCCATAAATTCTTTGCCTGGCCAGTGTTTTCAGGTCTTAGGTTTAGGCCTTTAATCTATCTTGAATTAATTTTTGTATATGGTTAGAGATAGAGATCCAGTTTCATTCTTTTTCATGTGGCTTTTTTTTCCAGCACCATTTATTGAATAACATGTACTTTCTCTAGCATATTTTTGTGTATCATTTCTCAAGGATCATTTTCTTGTAAGTGGCTTTATTTCTGACTTGAGTATTCTATTCCATTGATCTGTGTATCTACTTTTATACCAGTATCATGCCATTATTGTTTCTGTAGCCTTAGAGTATGATTTGAAGTCAGGTAATGTGATACCAACATATTTGTTCCTCTTGCTTGGTATGTCTGTTGTTATTCAGGCTCTTTCGTGGCTCCACATAAATGTCAGCATTTTTAAATGATTCTATGAAGAATGACATTGGTAGTTTGAGAGGAATTGTATGCAATCTGTAGACTGCTTTGGGCACTCTAGTCATTTTTACAATATCAGTTCTTTCAGTCCATGAACATAGGATGTATTTTCATTTGTGTCATCTATTATTTCTTCAGTGGTGTTTTTCAGTTATCCTTATATAGATCACTCTACTCCCTCATTAAGTATATTCCTAGGCATTTTACACTTTTGCAGCCATTGTAAAAGGGATTGGGTTCTTGAAATAACTCTCAGCTTTGTTGTAGTTGGTGTATAGTGGTGATACTGATTGATATTCATTTATTTTGTAAACTCTGAGATTTTACTGAATTCATTTATCAAACCTAGGAGTGTTGGCCAGGCATGATGGCTCATGCCTGTAATCCCAGAACTTTGGGAGGCCAAACCGGGTGGATCACCTAGTGTCAAGAGTTCAAGACCGTGCTGAGCAACATGGAGAAACCCCGTCTCTACTAAAAATACAAAATTAGCAGTGTGTGGTGGTGCATGCCTGTAATTCCAGCTACTAGTGATGCTGAGGCAGGAGAATTGCTTGAATCCAGGAGGCGGAGGTTGCAGTGAGCCGAGATGACACCATTGCAATCTAGGCTGGGCAGCAACAGGGGTTCCGTCTAAAAAAAATATCTAGGAGTGTTTAGTAGGAGTTTTTATGGTTTTCTAGTTATAAGACAATATCATTGGGGAAGAGATAGTTTTACTTCCTCTTTTCCGGTTTGGGTGCTCTTTATTTCTCTTGCCCAGTTGCTTTGCCTGGGAATTCCTAGTTTTATTCTTAGCTTTCATGAAATAAAAAGTAAAAAGGAAAGGGATTAAGGATGAATTTATTTTACATCTGTCATACCAGTTAACATTAATTCTGTTCTACATTAAAATACATGTTGCTCTTCATTGCTTAAATATTAGAGCATGTCTTGTTCCAAAAGGCATTTCTGAGTTGTTTATAAAATAGATAGGTATCAAGAACATAAGTGGAAAGTGTTTCCAGAAAATAAATATAAAAAGTATGGGCTAACACAGGGGCTCCCAATCCCCAGGCCACAGACTAGTACCAATCCCTGGCCTGTTAGGAACTGGACCACACAGCAGGAGGTTAGTGGCAGGTGAGAAATAAAGGTTCATTAGTGTTTACAACCACTTCCCTTCACTTGCCTTACTGCCTGAGCTCTTCCTCCTGTCAGATCAGTGGTGGCATTGGATTGTCCTAAGAGTGTCACCCTACCCTGTTGTAAGCTACTCATGCAGGGGATCTAGGTCATGCACTCCTTATGAGAATCTAATGCCTGATGATATGTCACTGTCTCCTGTCACCCCCAGATGGGACCATGTAGCTACAGGAAAACAAGCTCATGGCTCCCACTGATTCTACATTATGATGAGTTATATAATTATTTCATTGTATATTATGATTAATAATAATAGAAATAAAGTACACAATAAATGCAATGTTCTTGAATCATTTTGGAAACATCCCCCCACCTCAGATCCATGGAAAAATTATCCTCCATAGAACCACTGACTGGTGCCAACATGGTTGGGGACAGCTGGGTTAACAGATGTGAGACCCTTTTGCTTTGTCTTGGATTAATCAGCAGATATACATTGTGTTAAACACATCTGATGGTGACATCTTGCCCTGTAAATCATTTTAGGGATACTTGCAGTATTTCATGAAAATTAAAATTTCTTCTAGTGAATTTATAAACTTGTTTATTTGTAAATAGTATGTTCTTTTTAATTAGTTAATTTGAAATGATCTGTCCTAATTAAGAAGTTCCTATGACTGTGTGAAAAAGAGGTAATTTTCAACTTGTAACTTTACTGAATAATTTCTAATATCCTTTCCCATAACATTTATCGGAGTTACTAGTAACAAAAACTCACCAATTAGCAAGATGTTCGTTCCTCTCTACCTTTCAAGTATTTATCCCTTGGGAGAGATTGAAGGAATAAATTAAAAGCATGAAAACTAGAAAGAAAAAATAGTCAAAAACACAGAGATTTTATTTGAATAATAAACCTATACAGGAAGAGCTAGATCACAAAATAAACTTTTTGTTTTCTAACAAAACAACTTTTACTATAACTGTATTTAACTGTAGATCGGCCTTAAAACAAGAAGAAGAGAAGACAAGGAATGCAGATATGTTGTACAAAAAAGGTAGAGAGGAGTTAAAAAGAAAACAAGAGGAATATGAAAAAGAATTTGAAATGAACCAACAACACGAACAGACTTTGCAAACACGAGCCATGGAATTCAGGACAGTAAGAAACAATTTGGATCAGGTATATTAATTTCAGATACAAATTTTATATTTTCAATTTTATGTTTCATCAGTATTACTTATAATATTTCTTTGATTTAATGTGGTATGTTATTTAGATGTAAAACACACCAAAACTGTTATCTAATTTTTAAAATGTGCTATGACATTTATAGTTAGAGTATTTGTAAACCTTGGCATTTCAGTCTGTGATGCTCAGTCTGTGTTTTCAGAATGAAGAAATGGGAAATAAGTTGAGTTTAATTACTGACATTCATGCTCATTTATGGATTTTGATGTTAAAATACAGGCTAAATAGCTTTGAAACTGTAATGAAATGTGTTAAATATTTTGACAGAAATTTTATTACACAATACTGTATCTTTCGGTAGGTAAGAACTGTTTTTCCTCTTAGAGAAATTTGACTGTTACGTATGCAACTAAAATTCTAATGATTCTTGAGGCTTAAAACTTTTTGTTTCTTAAGAGGCTACTTTCTTCTAACAGTTTTATAAAAGAGGTTCTGCTCTTTTAGACTTTCTTTTTCAGTCCTATTAAACCAAAAACGTACTGTATCTCTAGGTTGTGCAGAAACAAAACGTTAACCAGAAGCAACTCTCTGAAGAACAGAATGGTAGAATATTACTAGCTGAGATTCTGACTGATTATCAGAAGCAGACAGAAGTGGTTGAAAAAAAAATGAATTCTAAGGAATTTTCTTTGGTTATTTTCAAATTTTTTTATATGTGTATATTTGAAAACCCAACCCTATGTATTTTGGAAAGCATAAATGATTTTTATATCACACACACACACATATATATATATATATATATATGGACATATGTATGTACATATCTTTTATCATTTATCTATATATGTATATATAGGATAAAGCCATGTTCTTAATTCAACTCCATTTGCCTGCAGCAGTCTAGTGGTGACATTCACAATGGCCTCAATCCAAAGGAGAAACTTTTGGTATTTTTCATAAGAATTGAAGTTCTTTTTACTATCAAAAATAAGTTTTACTATTAACAACAGATTTTCCAGCTTTTGGACATTATTTCATCTTCTTAGAATATTAATGGAAAGGTCAGTTTATTATTTTCACTCATAGGAAAGCAGGAAATGTATAGCTGATTCGGAGGCCATATTGTGGATGTCACTATCCTTACATTTGAGGAGAATACCAGTTTACTCCATGTAGTTTCTCATTTCAGTGCAAAGAGCTTTGGAAACAGTGACATGCCACAATACACATTTAGTGACAATTTATTGATAAGTATTTTATTTCCAGAGAAATAGTTCAGTATATTTTCCTCTATTTAACACGAATTATTGTTTTAAACATTATAAAGAGGAAATAAAAGTTATTGGAATGGCAAATAATCTCATGAGTTCTAAGAAAAGCTCTATAAGTTGTAATATATTTACCATTCATATTTTGAAATGAAAGACTTCTTTTGTATTTATATATTTATACCATAGAAAGAACTATGATTTTGTGGAGTATCACTAGAAGTAGCATCAGAAGACCTGAGGAAAATGCTGCATCTTGCATATTTTTCAACCTTTCCTTTTAAGTATTGTTATCTTACATGAGTTTAGTGTTGTATGCAGAAGTGCAGTGCTTAGATGCAGATGTGTACAATGTAGAAGGGGACAGTGCTTAGATTTAACCATGATGAATAAATGTAATTCTTATGCCTGACTGTACAAATACTAGAAAAGTAGAATGTTGATAAAACATTCTTCAGACAAAGGAACTTAAAGAACTTTGAGAAATTGCTTCTATCCACTTATCAGAGTGTAAACGCAACTTAAAATATATAGTCAAATGTGTTAATCTTATATTTTATGCCTCTGGGGTTTTTGTAACTCAGAGAAAGGCTTTTACAATTTTGAGATTCTTGAAAATTCTCTAGTGATTTATTTTTTATGACCTTGAAATAAATATTTAAACTTTCGGGAATTCTCACTCTGTTAGGCTTGAAGTTTTGTCCAATGTTTTTTCCAGTTAAATATTCTCTACGGGAATTCTTTCATTATACAAATATACAGGTTACTCTTTAATTTCAGAACAAATTATGTCATTCTATTGAGGGCTAACTAAAAGTTCTCTTTGTTTACTTAGATTGCTCTTTGCCAAATGAAAGACGAAGATCTCTTGCATGAAAATTGCATATTGCAAGAAGAACTTGCCATGCTAAGACTGGAACTGGACATAATAAAACATCAGAACCAGCTAAAGGAAAAGAAATATTTAGAAGACATTGAAAGTGAAAAAGAAAAGAATGACAGTCTTCGAAATGCTATAAAACTGACTGAGGAAACATTAGCAAAAACAGTGTTTCAGTACAGTGAACAGCTTATCACTTTGACAACTGAGAATAAAATGCTCAGTTCTGAGCTCAAGAATGAAAAACGCCAGAAGGAAAGGCTGGAAATGGAAATGTAGTCATCTCATGGTAGACCAGCTGCTACCCTACATGATGGTGACCAAAGTCAGGTAGCAGAAAGAGACCTCTTTCCAGAGAACAAGACATGAACGGGTTTATTTACAGGAAGCAATCAATTCTCATGTGTCTAACCTAAAAGATAACAGTGAGATTCTTTGTGAACGACTCTCTAATGCTGACAGTAAAATTAACAGCCTAAAGATTAAGTGTCATCATACAAGGTAAACTCTGAGAGGAAAGATCGGGCAGGCCTCCATCTTTTTTGTTTGGGTGACTCATCCATTCCAGCCTGAAGACTTTGGAGTATACAAACTGACCAGGGGCGGAAGAGATCCCACACAGCACAGCTGCTTGAACAAATCATGGCCAGACTTATTCTGTAAGCAGGCCCCTGATCCTGTTTCTCCTCACTGGATGGAACTTCCCAAATGGGACCTGCAGCTACCTCCAGCAGTGTTCCTCTGCCAACAAGAGATTTGAATCCCCTCCTGGGACAGAGGTCCCAAAGGGGAGAGGGGGGTCGGCACCTTTGAGTTTGGGCAACCAGCTGTCCTGGCCTGCGGGCTTTGGAGAGCCCAAGCTGACCAGGGGTGGAAGTGGTACCCCAGTGCAGCAAAGCCACCCTACAAAAACTTGGCCAGTCTTTTTTAAGTCAGTCCCTGACCACATTTCTTGTCACTGGGTGGAGCCTTTCAATCACGGTCTCCAGCTACCTTCACTGCTGTTCTCTGGCTGCAAGAGGTTTCAGGCCTCCCTGGGTCAGAGCTCCCAGGGGGAGGACCAGACTATCATATTTGCTGTTTGGGAAACTCAGCCATTTCAGCCTTAGGGCTTCAGAGTGCCTGAGGCAACCAGGGGCTGAAGTGAACCCCAGCACAGCACAGCTGCTCTGCAAAAATATGACCAGACTTCTTTTTTAAGCAAGACCCTTTTCTTGTTCCTCTTGTCTAAGCATGACTTCTCAACTTGTCCAGCCACCTCTTGTAGGTGTGACTAGATTGGCAACAAGTTTGTACCTCAGTTGTACAGAGCTCCCAGAGGAAGGGGCAGGCTATCATCTTTGCCTTTTTGCAGACTTTATTAGTGATACTCTCAGGTACTGGAAACTCTGAGGCAAGTAGGGACTGTAGTGGACCCCAGCATACCACAGAAGCCCTACGGAAAAGTGGCCAGACTGTTAGGTGGGTGCCAGTTTCCATAGCTCCTTGATGGGCAGGTTCTCCCAGCCTGGATCTCTGCAAACATTCCACTGGAGCTATTAAGCCAGTTGCAACTCAGCAATTCCCTGGACAGAGCTTCCAGGAGCAGCTGAAATCCTCTCTGCCACTGCCTCTGAAGTGGAACTGTCCTTGCTACTCTCAGAATATCAATGGAGCAAAGACCCTAAGTGCCATATTGACACCTCCAAGAAGCTGCAGTTGACTTAAGGAGCAAGCCATTCCATCTCCCATGGGTACCATACACATGATCATCAGGGAACCCTGGCTTGAGCCCACAACACAGACCCTCCATCCTGGGCTGATTGCATGAAGTAATTGCTAACCCGCATCTCTGCGGTAGAGCCCACAGGAAACCAGCAAAGTGGTGAAGCAGCAGTCCAGCTGATGTGGAGCCCTCTGGGGAGGGCAGGGACAGCTGTCTCTCTAAGATTGCTCTTATGAATCACTTTACCCCAGCACTTTAGGAGTGCTGAGGTCAGACTGGCCACATCTCATGTGCAAGACTGCCCAGCATAGATCAGGTCTGAGAGTCTCCCTCTTAAAAAGGGGGACTTATTTGAAAAAGGAGTCTGGCCATGTCTTTTAGAGCAGCTGTGCTGTGCTGCGGCTTCACTCTTGAGAGACTTTTTCTCTCAGACCTGATCTATGCTGGGCAGTCTTGCACATGAGATGGGGCTGGTCTGACCTCAGCACTCCTTAGTCTGCTTGCCTCTCCCAGGGCCCCAGCCTGGCCACACCTGCTTATACCATAGCTTCTGTGCCAGTGGACCATGCCTGACCAGCGGAGAGCTGTAGCAAGGTGGCCCCCACAGGCATATGCCAGTTTGTACATTGCCTCTCCATACTGCAGCTCTTTATATGGAAACTTACTACATCACTTTGGTGGTGTGTGTTTACATGGGGCTTGCTTCATACAAGATTTTTCTACACTTGCCCTACCAGCACAGAGGAGTGCAACACACACCCCAGCCCATGCCAACTGCTATTGAAGATGGAGCCATGGCAGGCACAGAGCCAAAAATCTCCACCTCCTCCAGCACCTCGCCCTTAAGGTAATGCTGTACAGAGAAAAAGGGACCCTCTTACATCCTGAGCAACCACTGATGCTTGGGGAGGCTCACAGAAGGCACCGAGGCCTGTGCTGGCCAGCACCCCACCCCAAACCAATAGAGCTCCAGTACAACAGCACACAATAGGGGCCCCCTGGCCCTCATCTTAGCTGTCTTGCCTCCACCACGGTGAACACCCACAGGGTTACAGGCACTCTGCTGCAGGTGCAGCACTTTGGTCCCTCAGTACAGTGGACTCCAAACCTGGAGGAGCCAGAAAACAAAGTTGGGGCCCAATAAAATTTCCTCAGAGTTAAAGCACATAGTCTAGGAATTGGTAGCTGAACATCAGCCCCCTAAAATCTTCCAGAAGCAAAGCTGAATACACCTAACACCACAATCAAACTATAAAGGTCATGTAATCAAATACAATAAAATAAAAATACCCTGTCTAAAGGTCAGCATCCTCAAAGGTTGAAGGTTGATAATCCCATAAACATAAGAAAGAATCTGTACAAGAGCACTGAAAACTCAAAAACTCAGTGTGCCTTCTTTCCTCCAAATGATTGCACTCTCTGGCAAGTGTTCAGAACTGGGCTGAGGCTGAGATGTCTGAAATGATACAAGTAGAATTCAGAATATGGGTAGAAACAAAGTTCACTGAGTGAAAGAAGTACATTGTAATCCAATGCAAGGAAGCTAAACATCATTGTAAAACATTGCAGGAGGTAACAGAAAAAAGAGCCAGTATAAAGAACATATCTGACCTGATAGAGCTGAGAAGCACAGTACAAGACTTTTCATAATACAGTACATGGTGATTGGGTGTGACTGTATTATGAAAATTCTTGTAGTGTGTGTGGGCACCCGAGAGTGCCCTGTAAGCAGGTGTGGCCAGGCTGGGGCCCTGGGAGAGGCAAGCAGACTAAGGAGTGCTGAGGTCAGACCAGCCCCATCTCATGTGCAAGACCACCTAGCAGAATAAACCAAGCAGAGGAGAGAATCTCAGAAGTTGAAAACTGGCATTCAGAAATAAAACATGCAGACAAGAATGGGGGAAAAAGAATGGAAAGGAATAAACAAAACCTCTGAGAAATATGGGATTATGTAAAGAGATCAAATCTATGACTGATTCATATACCAGAAAGAGATGAGAATGGAACCAACTTGGAAAACATATTTCAGAATATCGTTAGAATATTCCCAAGTGAGCCAGACAAGCCAACATTCAAATTCAGGAAATCCGGAGAACCTCAGTAAGATATGCCACGAGAAGATCATCTCCAAGACACATAATCATTAGATTCTCCGAGGTCAAAAATGAAAGAAAAAATGTTAAAGTCACCTATGGAGAAAGGTGAGGTTACCTCCAAAGGGAAACCCATCAGACTAACAGCGGACTTCTCAGCTGGAACCCCGAAAGCCAGAAGAGATTGTGAAGCTCAATATTCAACTTCTTAAAAGAAATTTCAACCCAGAGTTTTATGTGTAGTTAAGCTAAGCTTCATAAATGAAGGAGAAATAAGATCCTTTTCAGAGAAGCAAATGCTGAGGGAATTCATTACCACCTGCCTCACAAGAGCTCCTGAAGGAAGCACTGTGGAAAGAAAAAACCATCACCAGCCACTATAAAAACGCACTGAAATACACAGACCAGTGATGCTAAAAACCAGCCACACACACATGTCTGCAAAATAAGCAGCCAACAGCATGGATCAAATCCACATACATCATTACTAACCTTAAATGTAAATGGGCTAAATGCTCCAATTGAAAGACACAGAAGGGCAAGCTGGATAAAGAACCATGACCCATTCCAGTATGCTCTTTAAGACACCCATCACACATGCAGTGCCACACATAGGCTCAATATAAAAGAATGGAGAAAAATCATTTAAGCAAATGGAAAACAGAAAAAAGCAGGTGTTGCAATCCTAGTTTCTGACAAAACAGATTTTATACCAATAAAGATTTAAAAAGGAAGAGAAAAATATTACAAAGGCGGCCCTGGCCTTTGATAAATCTCAATATTGCTTAATATTAACCTAGGCTATCTTCATTTCTCAAACCAATAGGAAAATTTGTGGAAGTTGGGGAGCTTCTCCCCTCTAGAGAGTCCCTGATCTCCCAAAATTTGGTTGAAATCTAAGGTTGATTTTGCTGTACAACTCCTTTTCTGAAGGGTTACTCGCTTCCAACACAAAAGGCAAGCTTTCCTGCTTCCATGATGGTGGAGAGCAGGCACTTCCTTTCTTGAGTTTCAGCTTGCTTCTGACAAGGAAGGTGAGTGTGAGTTTTTTCCTACTTCTCTAAGATGGTAGTGAGTGATCATCAGCCTGAGCAATATTTCCAGGTAAGTAGTTGAATTAGAGTTTTGTCTTGAAAATGTTCCTTAAAGACTAAAAGTTAAGATGACCAACCAGGTGTTTTTAACTTCTTCTTACCATCAGAACACTCAGTAATCATGTGAATTGCGCAGTTGTTTCTTTTGCCTGTCTGTTGTTGTTTGTTTATGTTTGGGTTTTGTTGTTGTCGTTTCAGTTTTCTCCCGTGAGGTATGACCATCTCTTTCTGACCTGGTCAAATCCAAATGAATGTTCCAAATTGTGGGAAAAAAGGCATCTGAATTGGCTAAAACTCCTGTAGCTGTAGAAAGAAAACAAAAATCCAGTTAGCAGAAAGAATTTTTTTAAAACTTTTCTATTTAAGCCTAAGAGGTTTTGTCTACATAACAAGGTCATCTTTTGCTAGCCAAGGCCAAACTGAAGGCGCGGTAGTGGCCACCCAATGCTAACATTCTGTCTGCACTGTTCACCACAGCAAACTGAGTTTGGTTCCTATGTCTAGTTCTTTTTTGTTTGGTATTTGTGTTACTTTTAAAATATCAGCGGTTTATCCCAACTATGATGTGGTAGTAGGATATTTAAAAAGATTTTTTTAAGAGCTGTATCTATGATTAAGAACTTAATTAAAAGCAAATTTATAATATATGTAATTATATTTATATGTAATTATATTTAAATGTAATTATATATTAGAAAGATGTAAATATATATAACATGAATATATATACATTTGTATGTTTGGAATATATGTTCATATATTTCTAGTGTGTGTGTGTGTGTGTGTGTGTGTGTGTGTGTGTGTGTGTGTGTTTGAATCTAAAAAACCTTTCTCTCTTTGGATCATGTTTTTTGAAAATATTTTTCTTCTCAGTCAACTGAATTGTCTCTATTTTACTTTTGTCTGTCCTTTTTTTCTCTTGCCACCCTTGATGCCCACATAACAGATCTAAAATAACTGGGGATTACTTACAACAGAAAAGCCACCAGGGTTGTTTTCAGGAGGAACCACTATTTTTGTTTAACAAATCCCAAGAGTTGTAAACAGGCAAGTTTTCTGCAGATCTTAAACTGCACACCTTTTAAATTTCATTACTGGATCTTAATGGCGTTTTTGGGTGTCAAAAATGACTTTGCACAATGAGAAATTTTTTGACCTTGGTGTATGTAATAGCTAGGTAGGAGATATAAATTTTAGGCCTGGTTATTGGAAGAGATATTTGTATGCCTTTGGCCACCTGAAAGGTGTGGAAACATCCCAAACCCCCACTGAATAGTGAGATTGCTATGAGCTAAGAGCTGATAATTGAATGTGCTATTTGGCTTTTGCTGGCCACCAACCTGAGGGGAAATGTATTTGTAGTGAAATGCATAATAAAAACGTGGCATTGTCTGATCCCATAATGTTTTTCTTTTTTTCAGGTCCTGAGGATTTTATATAAAAGTGAAACCCTTGATTTTTTGAGATCTGTTCTGCCTTACAGCTGTGCCTGCATGTTAGGCCCTAGAAGCTGCATGCTTCCTTGGCTCTGTTCCTTAAAATGTTCCACCATTAAGCCAGTAAGTCAATTTAAAAAAAACTCTTTAGGAAAATCACAATTTAGAGTGTCTGCTTTCCCTGGCCATGTTAACTGAACTTTTAGAGCATTTTTTTTTTTTTTTGGCTTGAGTAAAATGTAAATCCTTCATCTTGTTTCACCTAAGAGTTGTCCCTTTAAAAATGCAAATTTGGAGTTTCCTCATTGATAATTGTTTACAGTGGGAAACAAATAATCAAAAGACTAATGTTCTAAAATGGAGAAGAAAAACTGGCAAATGAAAAATCTTATGAATCCCAAAGATCTACTTCTGTGTGTCCATATGTCTAAGTATTTATACGACATATGTATATAATGTTTGAGTACCAACAATATGACAGGGTTCTAATTTGGCTTTCAAAAAAAGTTGTTAAATGTTTTTTCAGAGAGTTGGAAACTTATTCCTGAATACTTTCTCAAGTTCACATGACAAGTAGACTTTTGACCAATCAGTTGGCTTTAAACTGATGGGTTAAAAAGTAAATTCAAAATGTCTTTACAATTGTCAGCATACATTATTGTTTAGATGTATTAGTCAACTTTTTTTTCTTTCTTCATTTTTTAAATGTTCTGGTCAAGTAGTTTTATATTTATCTCTGCTAGCTACTATAAGATGTCAAAGTTTGGCACAAGGGTTATAAACTACCCACCCGAAACAAAGATTTTTCTTCAAGTGATTATTGATAAATAAGACACTTGATATTGTTGATTTAATAAGAACAGCTCAATCCAGAGTCATCAGTTAAAAAAAAACTATTAAATAATAATAAATTAGGTAATTGTAATGAACTTTTCATATAAGTTATATCTTTTTTTTGTCTTTTAATTTTTTATTGGATTTTAGGTTTTGGGGTACATTAGCAGAGCATGCAAGACACTTGCGTAGGTACGCACATGGCAGTGTGCTTTGCTTTGCTTCTCCCCTTCACCCACATTTGGCATTTCTCTCCAGGCTATCCCTCCCCACCTCCCCCTCCCACTGGCCCTCCCCTTTTCCCCCCAATAGACCCCAGTGTTTAGTACTCCCCTTTCTGTGTCCATGTGTTCTCATTTTTCATCACCCACCTATGAGTGAGAATATGCGGTGTTTCATTTTCTGTTCTTGTGTCAGTTTGCTGAGGATGATGTTCTCCAAATTCATCCATGTCCCTACAGACGACACAAACTCATCATTTCTGATTGCTGCATAATATTCCATGGTGTATATGTGCCACATTTTTCCAATCCAGTCTATTATCAATGGGCATTTGGGTTGATTCCAGGTCTTTGCTATTGTAAACAGTGCTGCAATGAACATTCGTGTACATGTGTCCTTATAGTAGAACGATTTATAGTCTTTTGGATATATACCCAGTAATGGGATTGCTGGGTCAAATGGAATTTCTATTTCTAAGGCCTTGAGGAATTGCCACACTGTCTTCCACAACGGTTGAACTAATTTACACACCCACCAACAGTGTAAAAGTGTTCCTTTTTCTCCACATCCTCTCCAGCATCTGTTGTCTCCAGATTTTTTAATGATCGCCATTCTAACTGGCGTGAGATGGTATCACAGTGTGGTTTTGATTTTCATCTCTCTGATGACCAGTGACGATGAGCATTTTTTTATATGATTGTTGGTCTCATGTATGTCTTCTTTCGTAAAGTGTCTGTTCATATCCTTTGCCCACTTTTGAATGGGCTTGTTTGTTTTTTTCCTGTAAATCTGTTTGAGTTCTTTGTAAATTCTGGATATCAGCCCTTTGTCAGATGGGTAAACTGGAAAAATTTTTTCTCATTCGGTTGGTTGCCGATCCACTCTAGTGACTGTTTCTTTTGCTGTGCAGAAGCTGTGGAGTTTCATTAGGTCCCATTTGTCTATTTTGGCTTTTGTTGCCAATGCTTTTGGTGTTTTGTTCATGAAGTCCTTGCCTACTCCTATGTCCTGGATGGTTTTGCCTAGATTTCCTTCTAGGGTTTTTATGGTGCCAGGTCTTATGTTTAAGTCTTTAATCCATCTGAAGTTAATTTTAGTGTAAGGTGTCAGGAAGGGGTCCAGTTTCTGCTTTCTGCACATGGCTAGCCAGTTTTCCCAACACCATTTGTTAAACAGGGAATCCTTTCCCCATTGCTTGTTTTTGTTAGGTTTATCAAAGATTGTATAGTTGTAGATATGTTGTGTTGCCTCCGGTGCCTCTGTTGTGTTCTATTGGTCTATATCTCTGTTTTGGTACCAGTACCATGCTGTTTTGATTACTGTAGCCTTGTAGTATAGTTTGAAATCCGGTAGTGTGATGCCCCCCGCTGTGTTCTTTTTGCTTAGAATTGACTTGGTTATGCGGGCTCTCTTTTGGTTCCATATGAAGTTCATGGTGATTTTTTCCAGTTCTGTGAAGAAAGTCAATGGTAGCTTGATGGGGATAGCGTTGATTCTGTAAATTACTTTGGGCAGTATAGCCATTTTCACAATATTAATTCTTCCTAACCATGAACATGGAATGTTTCTCCATCTGTTTGTGTCCTCTCTGATTTCGTTGAGCAGTGGTTTGTAGTTCTCCTTGAAGAGGTCCCTTACATTCCTTGTGAGTTGTATTCCAAGGTATTTTATTCTTTTTGTAGCAATTGTGAATGGCAGTTCGTTCTTGATTTGGCTTTCTTTAAGTCTGTTATTGGTGTAGACGAATGCTTGTGATTTTTGCACATTGATTTTATATCCTGAGACTTTGCTGAAGTTGCTTATCAGTTTCAGGAGTTTTTGGGCTGAGGCGATGGGGTCTTCTAGGTATACTATCATGTCGTCTGCAAATAGAGACAATTTGGCTTCCACCTTTCCTATTTGAAGACACTTTATTTCTTTTTCTTGCCTGATTGCTCTGGCTAGAACTTCCAGTACTATATTGAATAGGAGTGGTGAGAGAGGGCATCCTTGTCTAGTGCCAGATTTTAAAGGGAATGCTTCCAGTTTTTGCCCATTCACTATGATATTGGCTGTTGGTTTGTTATAAATAGCTTTTATTACTTTGAGATACGTTCCATCGATACCGAGTTTATTGAGGGTTTTTAGCATAAAGGGCTGTTGAATTTTGTCAAATGCCTTCTCTGCGTCAATTGAGATAATCATGTGTTTTTTGTTTTTGGTTCTGTTTATGTGGTGAATTACGTTGATAGACTTGCATATGTTGAACCAGCCTTGCATCCCCGGGATGAATCCTACTTGATCATGATGAATAAGTTTTTTGATTTGCTGTTGCAATCAGCTTGCCAATATTTTATTGAAGATTTTTGCATCTATGTTCATCATGGATATTGGCCTGAAGTTTCCTTTTCTTGTTGGGTCTCTGCTGGGTTTTGGTATCAGGATGATGTTGGTCTCGTAAAATGATTTGGGAAGGCTTCCATCTTTTTGGATTGTTTGAAATAGTTTTAGAAGGAATGGTACCAGCTCCTCTTTGTGTGTCTGGTAGAATTCGGCTGTGAACCCGTCTGGACCTGGGCTTTTTTTGAGTGGTTGGCTCTTAATTGCTGCCTCGACTTCTGACCTTGTTATCGGTCTATTCATAGTTTCAGCTTCCTCCTGGTTTAGGCTTGGGAGGACACAGGAGTCCAGGAACTTATCCATTTCTTCCAGGTTTACTAGTTTATGTGCATAGAGTTGTTTGTAATATTCTCTGATGATGGTTTGAATTTCTGTGGAGTCTGTGGTGATTTTCCCTTTATCATTTTTTATTGCATCTATTTGGTTGTTCTCTCTTTTCTTTTTAATCAATCTGGCTAGTGGTCTGTCTATTTTGTTGATCTTTTCAAAAAACCAGCTCTTGGATTTATTGATTTTTTGAAGGGTTTTTCGTGTCTCAATCTCCTTCAGTTCAGCTCTGATCTTAGTAATTTCTTGTCTTCTGCTGGGTTTTGAGTTTTTTTGATCTTGCTCCTCTAGCTCTTTCAATTTTGACGATAGAGTGTCAATTTTGGACCTCTCCATTCTCCTCATATGGGCACTTATTGCTATATACTTTCCTCTAGAGACTGCTTTAAATGTGTCCCAGAGGTTCTGGCATGTTGTGTCTTCGTTCTCATTGGTTTCGAAGAACTTCTTTATTTCTGTCTTTATTTCATTGTTTACCCAGTCAACATTCAAGAGCCAGTTGTTCAGTTTCCATGAAGCTGTGCGGTTCTGGGTTGGTTTCTGTATTCTTAGTTCTAACTTGATTGCACTATGGTCTGAGAGGCTGTTTGTTATGATTTCAGTTGTTTTGCATTTGTTGAGCAGTGCTTTACTTCCAATTATGTGGTCAATTTTAGAGTAGGTGTGATGTGGTGCTGAGAAGAATGTGTATTCTGTGGATTTGGGGTGGAGAGTTCTGTAAATGTCCACCAGGTTTGCTTGCTCCAGGTCTGAGTTCAAGCCCTGGATATCCTTGTTGATTTTCTGTCTGGTTGATCTGTCTAATATTGACAGTGGAGTGTTAAAGTCTCCCACTATTACTGTGTGGGAGTCTAAGTCTCTTTGTAAGTCATTAAGAACTTGCCTTATGTATCTGGGTGCTCCTGCATTGGGTCTATATATGTTTAGGATTGTTAGCTCTTCTTGTTGTATCGATCCTTTTACCATTATGTAATGGCCTTCTTTGTCTCTTTTGATCTTTGTTGCTTTAAAGTCTATTTTATCAGAGATGAGAATTGCAACTCTTGTTTTTTTTTTTTTTTTTTGCTCTCCATTTGCTTGGTAAATCTTCCTCCATCCCTTTATTTTGAGCCTTTGTGTATCTTTGCATGTGAGATGGGTTTCCTGGATACAGCACACTGATGGGTTTTGGCTTTTTATCCAATTTGCCAGTCTGTGTCTTTTGATTGGTGCATTTAGTCCATTTATATTTAGGGTTACTATTGTTATGTGTGAATTTGATACTGCCATTTTGATGCTAAGTGGCTGTTTTGCCTGTTAGTTGTTGTAGATTCTTCATTATGTTGATGCTCTCTAGCATTTAGTGTGATTTTGGAATGGCTGGTACTGGTTGTTCCTTTCTATGTATAGTGCCTCTTTTAGGAGCTCTTGTAAAGCAGGCCTGGTGGTGACAAAATCTCTGAGTACTTGCTTGTTCGCAAAGGATTTTATTTTTCCTTCACTTCTGAAGCTCAGTTTGGCTGGATATGAAATTCTGGGTTGAAAGTTCTTTTCTTTAAGAATGTTGAATATTGGCCCCCACTCTCTTCTGGCTTGTAGTGTTTCTGCCGAGAGATCTGCTGTGAGTCTGATGGGCTTCCCTTTGTGGGTGACCCGACCTTTCTCTCTGGCTGCTCTTAGTATTTTCTTTTTTATTTCAACCTTGTTGAATCTGACGATTATGTGCCTTGGGGTTGCTCTTCTTGCAGAATATCTTTGTGGTGTTCTCTGTATTTCCTGTATTTGAGTGTTGGCCTGTCTTGCTAGGTGGGGGAAATTTTCCTGGATGATGTCCTGAAGAGTATTTTCCAGCTTGGATTCATTCATTTGTTGGCTCCAGTAGCAGTTTTCTTCCTTCTTCTAATTCTAAATCTGTTGTTATGTCCTGACGATAAAATGTTTTATCTTTAAAGGTTGTTCGTTTGTTTTTTAAGGCAATGTTTTCCTCCAGTATAACTTAATTCCTCTGAAGGTTTGCTTAAATTCAACTTTCAAAACACCAATCGATTAAAGAGAGGGCATGCATATTTGTTTGGGATTTATATATGAGAGTTTTCAAAATAAAGGCCCAGTGTATAGGAGAAATTATCTATTTTTCATTGCTTATGTTCAACAAAGTATGGGCAGCCATGTAAGAAGTGTGTTTAAAAAAAAAAGGATATAATGTAGTTCTAATGGGCTTTGAGGGAATACCCCCAAAAAACCTGTGTGTCTGGATTCTTCTTAACCTTTCTGAGTAGGCATTTTCTTCCTTCTAGCTATGGGGCACCTATAATCTACAGTACAACAAGGAAGGTCAGATAATTTCTTTATGACCAGTTCTTAGAAATGTGGAGGAAAAATTAGATTAATATTTTTGAAGCTTTATGGCTGGCTCTGAAAAATAGGTTATGGATTCTAGGGCCCACCTGGAAAAGAAAGATTCTCATTTCTATGGCCAGCCTCTAGGGAAAATGGAACTGAGAGACACAAGGGCAGGAGAAGGCCAAATAAAAAGTTTTATTTCTGTTGATGCTTCTGAGGCTTTCACTTTGGAATATTGTGTTTTTCAGCACCAGCATATGTCCAAAGTGTTCAATATAATTAGGCAGCTTCCCAAGCTGTGGCTAAGAGTCATATATTGTCCCAGCCAAGACCTCTATGATAACACTGTTTGCTCATTACACTGGGCATACTCTTTCTGTATCTGACTAGTTCAAGTTTTTTAAAATCAGATTTGACTGTCAGGTTATCCAAATAGGCTTCCTTTTTATAAGGAAAAACAGTCATTGAAGAAGATTACTTTTTTAAAAAAAACTGGTAACTAGAGTAATCAAAAAGATTTTAAGATAATTCCTGTGTTGTTTTAATTAGTTTTTAAAAATTATTACAAAACTAAACTTTAAAAGGGTTAAGGTCCTTACATTCATGTAACTTTCTATATTGCTTTTAAGGTTTTCATTTCACTCTGGTTAAATGAACAACTATTATGTTACAATGGCCAGTGATTGTGTTGTCATCAAATATTTTGAGCTCCCTAACATCTTTTGACAAACAGCTTCAAAAATCAAACACTAAATAAAGTCTCAGACTTATAGCTAAGGGGTTTATCAAAACTATAAAAATAAACCACTGCAAGGTTGTAAAATCTTTTACATCTTTCAGTTGAGTCATGAACTCCAGTATCACCCTCTCCAGGCCAATGATTGGACATCAGCAGAGAGACTCCCTCCAGCCCATTAAAAATGGTCTTTATCAGGAGATCGATCCAAGATAGCTGACCACTAACAGCTCAGGATTGTAGCTCCCAGTGAAAGCTCAGAGAATGAGAGGACGCCACACTTTTAGACGAATTTTCGTCACTCATTGATTAGCCGATTCCCAGTGGAGGAGCCCCACGCGTCACCAGCGCAACTCTTGTGGCCGCCGCAGCGGTTTTGCCGGTGTCTCAGCGCAGCAGCTCTTCATGCAGAGCCAACGGGACTGCTTCCCCTACTGACCGGAGTTTGGAGCTCCGGGAAGTCAGAGCCACTTGTTGCAGACTCAAGAGGGAAGCCAGACCAGAGATTCCCGGGCAGAAGAGCACCATCAGTCTTATCGCTGCTATTTAGGCTGCCACAGTGGCTTGCTCGGATCCCAGCACTGGGAATCAATAAGTCGGACGTTGACTCAGAAACCTAATTAGAAAGTCGGGTCATCTACAATGAAGGGAAAAAAACAGCCTAAGAAGGCCGAGTATACTCAAAATCAGAACCCGTCAGCAACCGAACAAGCCCTGATGGAAAAGGACTCATCAGTAATGAAACAAGACCTGATGGAAAAGGACTGTGTTCCATTATCTGAAGTAGGCTTTAAAAGGTGGATGATAAGAAACTTCTGGGAGTTAAAGGAACTTGTTCTAACCCAATGTAAAGAAACTAAGAACTTGGAAAAAAGGTTCGATGAAATGTTGAAAAAAATAGACAATATAGAGAGGAATACAAATTAACTTATGGAGTTGAAAAATACAACAGGAGAACTTAGTGAAATATGTACAAGCTTAAACAGCTGAATGGATCAAGCAGAAGAAAGGATATCAGAGGTGGAAGACCAACTTAATGAAACAAAATGACAAGACAAGAATAGAGAAAAAAGGATAAAAAGGAATGAGCAAAGTCTCCAAGCAATATGGGACTATGTGAAAAGACCTAATATACGCTTGATTGGTGTACCTGAATGTGATGGAGAGAATGAATTCAAGCTGGAAAATACTCTCCAGGACATTATCCAGGAAAATTTTCCTAATTTAGCAAAGCAGGACACTATTCAACCCCAGGCAATACAGAGAACACCACAAAGATATTCCTCAAGAAGACCAACCCCAAGGCACATAATCGTTAGATTCACCAAGATCGAAATGAAGGAGAAAATATTAAGGGCAGCCAGAGAGAAAGATCAAGTTACCCATAAAGGTAAGCCTATTAGGCTTACAGCAGATCTCTCAACGGAAACCCTGCAAGCTAGAAGAGAGTGGGGGCCAATATTCAATATACTTAATCAACAGAACTTTCAGCCCAGAATTTCATATCCTGCCAATTTAAGCTTTACATTTGAAGGAAAAATAAAATCTTTTAGGAACAAGCAAGTACTCAGAGATTTTATTACCACCAGGCCTGCTTTACAAGAACTTCTAAAAGAAGCATTATACACAGAAAGGAACAACCAGTATGACCCTTTCTAAAAATACACCAAAAAGTAAAGAGCATTAACATAAAGAAGAATTTTCATCAACGAAAGGACAAAATAGCCAGTTAATATCAAATGGCAGCAACCCTAAATTTAAATTGACCAAATCTCCCAATCAAAAGATACAGACAAAATCTAACGGTATATCCAAAGATATACATAGACTCAAAATAAAGGGTTGGGGAAAAAAAAAAAAAAAGTACCAACCAAATGGAGAGCAAAAATAAATAAATAAAAAGCAGGAGTTGCAATTTTCACATTTGACAAAATAGATTTCAAAGCTACAAGGATGCAAGGGTAAAAGGATTAATGTAATAATAAGAGATCTTAACACCCAGATACATAAGAGCCATAATGAGATTTAGATTCAACGAGACAGAAAATTGATAACGATATCCGGGACTGGAACTAAGATCCAGAACAAATAAACTCAATAGAGCTCTCCATTTTAAACACACAAAATATACATTATCCACAAAATCTAACGTAATATATCTAAAGATATACAAAGACTCAAAACAAGGGGATGGAAAAAAACTCACCAACCAAATGGAGAGCAAAAATAAATAAATAAAAAGCAGGAGTTGCAATTCTCACACTTAATAAAATAGATTTCAAAGCAACAAGGATGCAAGGGTAAAAGGATTAATGTAACAATAAGAGATCTTAACACCCAGATACATAAGACACATAATGAGATTTAGATTCAATGAGACAACAAATTGATAACGATATCCAGGACTTGAACTCAGAGCCAGAACAAATAAACACAATAGAGGTCTCCATTATAAACATATAAAATATGCATTAACCACTTTAAACACTCAAAATATTGATCGGCCATTATTGAAACCCATTTTAGGAATGAAGTAATATTCCTTTTTCCCTCTTTTTCTTTTTTTTCCTTCTTTTTCTCTTTTTCCCTCAAAAAAAAAAATATGGTCTTTATCAATAGTGTGAATTAACTCTTTTGCTGTTAAGATGCAGGGCTTTGACTCCTGTACTCCTATGTCATCTAAAACGTGATACTGGCTCCTGCTTAATCTTAAAATATTAATTAGTGTTGATATCTGTCTCCAAATTCTAGTTAACAAAAGCCCCACTTTCACACCTGGGAGAAGTTTACAGTCAAAACAAATTGCTAAGACTATACTTGCAGGGATCATTTCTGCAGTTTGTTACTAGAGAAGTTTCTTTGAACCTGTAGGGCACTGGAAACCACGAGGGGTTGCAGCATTCTCTCCTGAATTGGAAGCTAGTTTTTGGTGTTGCTTTGGCACAACTGCCACTTGCCATTGATGGTAACTCATCATTTCTCTGGGAAGAGGGAGAGGATGCAGTCAGAGTGGTTTTTTAAAATTTTTAAAAGGAAAAACTAGGCTGGGCATGGTGGTTCACACCTGTAATCCCAGAACTTTGGGAGGCCAAAGCAAATGGATCAGCCTGTGGCCAACATGGCAAAATATCGCTACAAAAAAATCCAAATTAGCCGGGTGTGTTGGCCTGTACCTGTAGTCCCAGCTACTTGGGGGGCCAGGTGGTAGGATTGCTTTAGCCCGGGAGTGAGTGGAGATGGCACCACTGCACTTCAGCCTGGGTGACAGAGTGAGACCCTGTCTCAAAAAAAAAAAAAGTTTTCATGTGGTACTGGGATAGGCCTGTATACAAAGACATAAATACTAAATCATTTTTTCTTTATCTTAATATAGTTTGTTGTATGCCTTAATATTAGATAACTTAAATGTTTAGCTACCTAGAAGTTCTTTTTCTGTCATTGTCAGAGCTAGGCAGGGCTTATGTTTTTTGTGTTTTAACATTTTTAATTCTGGGCCAGGCATGGTGGCTCACATCTGTAATTCCAGCACTGTGGGATGCCAAGATAGATGGACAACTTGAGGCCAGGAGTTTGAGACCAGCCTGGCCAATGTGGTGAAACCCTGTCTCTACTACAAATACAAAATATTAGCTGGGTGTAGTGGCATGCACCTGTAATCCCAGCTTTTGGAGGGCAGAGGTAGGAGGATCACTTGAACCTAGAAGGCTGAAATTTCAGGGAGTTGAGATCACACCACTGCACTCCCACCTGGGTGACAGAGCAAACTATAAAAACAAATGCCATTTCTAGCTTATGAAATTGGGTAAAACAACAAAAATTACCTTTCTCTCTCTACCTGGTGTCTCCAAAATGTAAAAGTATTTTAAATCTCACCAGGCCCAATCTATTTTTATTGCTATTGTCCCATATGAAATCATATAAACTAAAACTATATAAACACCTTTTCTCATAGGTGCAGGCACTCTCATAGAAAAGTTGAGAATGCGGGACTGTAAGGACCAGTTTTGAGTGCTAACATTTGTATAGCTCCTTCAAATAAAGGACAGGCACACACATCTAAACACGTGATAAAATGAGAAACTCTGCCTTCTGGGTTCTTTCCATCCATCCAAACTATAAAGAATTTCCTCTGGTCAACAAGGTGAAACCCCATCTCTACTAAAAATACAAAAATTAGCTGGGCATGGTGGTGTGTGCCTGTGGTCCCAGCTACTTGCGAGGCTAAGGCAGAAGAATTGCTTGAACCCAGGAGGCGGAGGTTGCGGTGAGCCCAAATCGTGCCATTGCGCTCCAGCCTGGGTAACAACAGGGAAACTCCATCTCAAAAAAAAAAATTTCTATTTTCCATAAAATTGAAAGAAAATTACTAAGGAAATATTAAGATACTTAGTGACAAAGCCTTCTGGGTAGAGTGCTCCAAGTTATAAAAATTAAACAGATAAATATAGAAAGCTCTTTTAAAATCAGCTATCTTAGTACAAATTACTATAAAGACATGCAAAAGAACTTTGTGACATAACAAAAGTCTCTAAATTCCTAAGCTTAAATGGTTTTAATAAAATGTTCATGTTTCAGATAGGTAATTACTACAGTCTGTAACTAAAACCAAAATTATGCTAGCTCGACACATAGAAGTTGTTGAAAAACTTCAGCTGAATTAAACTTAAAAAGTTTAATCAAGCAATGAATAATTTGTGAATTCATCTGCCTCCTAGGCTAGAGTAGACTCAGAGACTCAGTGCAGCCACATGGTGAAAGAATGTTTATGGACAAAAAAAGGAAAGAAATACATAGAAAATGGAAGTGAGGTACAGAAACAGCTGGATTGGTTACAGCTCAATGTCTGCCTTTTTTGAACATGGTTTGAACAGTTGTCTACATTTGATTGGAATATGGAATGGCGTGTACTGCAATTCAATTCTGACAGTAACTACCTGAGTTAGCACAGACCCCACAGGTGAAGGGAAAGTCCTCCCCAAGGCTGCCCTCACTTCTGATGTCAGTCTCAGGAGCCAGGCATTCCCCAAGCTGACTGGCTACAGAGGGTCCTCCACAGTCCACTTGGGTTTAATAATTCAGTACAACTCAGAGAACTCAGGGAAACCGCTAAAATTGGAACTCGTTACTATAAAAGACAGACATAGGGTGAGGTCTGGGAAGGTCCTAGACACATAGTTTCCATACCCTCTCCTGACTCCATGATGTGGAGCCAGGATGCATCAGCTTCTGGACACACTGGTGGGTTTGCTAACCAGGAAGAGCCCATTGAGCTGCAGTATCCAGAGTTTTGAGTTTCATTATGCAGATATGATTGATTACATCATTGACCTCCCTAGAGTTCTGGCAGCTGAAGTCCCAGCCCTCTAAACATGTGCTTGGTATTTCTGGTGATAAGCCTTCAGAGGTCTCCGCCTAATTACATAACAATGACACTCCAAGGATTTCTGGTGGGTTTTTGTTGTTGTTGTTGTTTTATTTTTTTCCGGACAGGTCTCACTCTGTTGCCCAGACTGGAGTGCAGTGGTGCAATCTTGGCTCACTGCAACCTCCGTCTCCAGGGTTCAAGTGATTCTCGATTCTCCCACCTTAACCACCTGAGTAGCTGGGACAGGGTGCTACTATTTCCTGATAGTTTTTATATTTTTAGTAGAGACGGGGTTTCACCATGTTGGTCAGGCACATCTTAAACTCCTGACCTTAAGTGATCTACCTACCTCGGCCTCCCAAAGTGCTGGGAATACACAGGCAGGAGCCACTGCACCTGGCCTATTGTTGTTTATTGTACACACTGAGAAAAAGCCAGAAACTGAACTTAAACTTCAAGTCTCATAGTTGTACCTCACCTTGGGAACTTGCAGACATATGGGACAAAATGCCTTGAAAGCACACATTCGTTGATAAAGCCCATAACCTCTTTTGTGCTAGAAACTGTTTATCCTCTTGGAAGGTGAAGAAAGAAGGAATAATACAAAATTTTAATAGCCACTAAAAATAATAAGCATGAAAAACTGGAAAAGCCCCACAAAATTAAACCACAACTAGAATACAATTATGGAAAGACTACATTGACACTCATGGAAAGAAATGAAAGCAGCAATAGACGAATGTAAACAATTATGTTATGCTCAACATGTATTCAACTTAAAATTTTCGTTTTAAATAAAAAACAGTGATTTTCCTTTTTCACTCTACACAAGTTCTCAAAATGGAAAGAATATCCTTATCTTGTGGATTGTTTAAATTTTCACAAGCCCCAGTACTTAGTTCACTCTCATCTACTGATCTTCTTTCGTTAAGTGAGAAAAATGTGGAAATTATTAAAATGTAGGTTAATTACATTAAAAGAATGGTAAATAAATTTTCACCTTCAAATATTTTTCTCTGGCTAGAATCACACAAACATTAAGGTAAATTAGTTTTCAATAGGAGCATGTTAGATTAGTTCTCCATTGAAAAATAGTAGGAGCATAGTAAATTGATTCTCACTAGAAATATAATAAACACAAGCAGCAATCTCATGAAAGCATAAACTAGAACATTTTCAATTTGTTTTTTATAAAAAAGTTACAAACAAAATCTCTAAACTTCCAAAAACTGAATCCCACAAATCTGTGTCAAGTCTTAATTCTTGGATAAAATTTCAAATGAAAATGTTAAATATTAAATATTTAAAAACCCTCTGAGCAGTTGTACTAAAACAAGTTCATAGATTTAGTTAAGGAAATTCTTTACTTCCTCATTGTGACCTCTCACTCATGTAGATTCACTCTAAGTAGTACTTTTATATCTAAACCAGAACAATGCAAGCTCCACTGATTTTACTCATTTTGTCCTTTACTCTTGAAAGTAATTCCCTATTCTCACCTACATTAAGCCATTTAAGTTGAAAGAATGCCAAGCTGACCCCCTCCACCCCCACCCACCAATAAAAACAGCTGCTATGGTATCTAGTAACATAAACTTGAGCAGGACTACCCTTAAGATACAGAGAAGCCCTGGGCAAAAAATTTTTGTGAGGCCTTATGTATAAATAAATTGATTTTAAAGTATATTACAAAATCATGGGCCCATAAACACCTGAGTGATTTTTTAGTGAAGTTTTAAAATATTAGGTAGAAAACAGATAGTCTAAGTATTTATTTATTGTTCAATCATGCACATGAACTTTCCTCAGTGTCCAGGCACCATCTCTAATTCCTCATTGTTATATGTGCTTTTCCTGGCTAATTTCCTGTCACTCAAGAAAAAGGTAACAATACTAGTATTACTCACAATGCCATGGCTCCTAGGACATGTTAGTTTTGAGACAACATATATCTGCTGCAGTTCATTAATGCCATTTATTTAATGCTGGTTCAATCATTACTGATGATGCTGCATCTTGCATTATAACATATATGAATACAAACTTCCAATGACTCTCTCAAAGGTAGTTAATGGTGTTTCATTTGACAATCTCAAAATTTCTGGTCATGTTAAATTTATGTTGGGAATTTCATACCATAAAATTAGAACAAACATATCTTTTAACCATGTCCCATCTTGAAATCTTCCACCATGCTTACCACTAGATCACTACAAGAATGTAACCTCTTTCCATTTGGACTGCACCTCTGGCCTCCCACACACCACCACCAGGAAAGGGACAGGCAAGAGACCCACAGGCTGGGGATAAGAGTACAGAAACAGAAAAGCTTATTCTAAACTTCGTATATAGACAGAAAAGAACTAGGAGAGCCAAAACAACCTTGAAAAAGAAAACAAAGTTATAGGTCTCCCACTTTCCAATTTTAAAACCTATTATAAAATTATACTAATTAAGGTAAGGTGGAACTGACATGAGGATAGACATATAGACCAACAGAAATGAATAGAAAATCCAGAAATAAACCTATATACCTATAGTCAACTAATTTTTCACAAGGGTCCCATGACCTTTAAATGGTAAAAGAACAGTCTTCTCAAAACATGGTGCTACAACAGCTGAATGTCCACATGCAAAGTAATAAATCTG